ATATATTTATTATTAATATAGTGGTGCATATCTGGTGGTATGAGGCTGATTTCAGGAACTAAATTGTTCCTGACTACGTAGCCATAAGAATAGAAAGGCAATGACAAGGTAAAACCTGATACCCTCACTGAAGGACTTAGGCTGTCTGGTCCATCACACTGATGGGGTCAGGAACAAGTTCAGCATTTGGAATGACAACTGTATTCACTTTCATGCAGTCCACTGCAAGCAGCCAGCTGATTTCTTCACCCTTCCCGGGACCCAGGATTATTTGGTGTTAATTACGTGGCATGGCTTAGGCAGCTCCAAGTGTTTCCATTCAATCCTAACCATAATAATTAGCATAGAAGATACTGTAAGTGTCCATATAGGTACCCTTTTCCCCAGAGCTCTTTCCCCCAGAACCTCCCATGAAATCAGTGTACCCGAAATGACTTATTGTACTGGGTTTAGGTGGGACTGCAGGGACCTTAATGACCCAGAGTTACAAATCACGATACAGCTTTACTCACATCCCCAAAGCTTGGCCAGAGATTATATCTCCTTACCAACTCATGTTTCAGGAGCCATACCCAAAGCACCCTCTGAGAGTGGGCAACATCTGCCCACTCAACAGGATGACCATGTTTCTTCCTGCCATATCCAGAATGCTTATTTGCAGTAATAATCATATTTATCCTGGTGAGCACTGCTGTCTCGATCTGCCACTTGAATTTCACCAGCTGATCTGACCATACCTGTATGGTGATACTGACGTGAAAGACTACTGCTAAAGCTTCACCTGGGGGTGGGGAGGAATAGCCTTGCGGGCATTCTAGGGCAGTAAAGGAGAGAGGGAAGCAAGCCAGGACTAGGGAGTAGATTCAGTGTGCCAAATCCATCTCTTTTCACTCCCTCCTTTGCAGGCTTTTACCAAGGATCTAAATTCAAGAGGAACTCATCTTTATGAGTCCAGACTTGCACAATGCCCCAACTTAGGCACCCATAAAGGGACAAATGAGGTTCCCTTTTTAGGGCATCTAACTGATTTAACTGAATTCTTTAAAATAAAAGTATAAAAACAGGTATGATGAGAAAGTATGTTGACTAGCACAGCACTTGAATATGATTAAGCATCCTTGCAACAGTCTTGGGAATCTACTTACTTGCAAAAGCCATGAAGTGAGTGATAATGAAGAAAAGAAAAAAAGGCAGACACACAGGTGTGTTCTGACAGTCAACTGAGAAAGAATTCTAAAGTAGAAGGAAGAAATAATACAACTTCAAAAACAAAAACATTAAACCCAAAGCTTGTAAACAATAGTGCCTGATAAAAGAATCCTTTGGACTACCCAGAGAGCATGAAGGATGCACAGAGGTAATAACTTAAGAATTATAGGTCTTCCAGAACAACATTACAAATCAACAACTATATATTACAATGCAAGAAATAGAAAATTATCCAGAATTTCTGATAGTACATAATAAACATAATAAAGGATGAACCAAGAGAATCTGTAGATTACCACTCAAAAAGAACCCTGCTTCAAACTTAACCCACTGTCTTTTCCTCAAAACCCGCCTCTCTTCTAAATTTCCCTGTAACTGTCAAGGATACTATCATCCTCCCAGTCACCCAGGCTGGCAACAAAGATATCATCCTTGACTCCTCATTCTCTCTCATCACTCCTATGTTTAATCTATTACCAAATCCTATTGATTCTACCCTCACTACAGCTCTTGTATATGTTTCCTTCTCTTCTCTGTCACTGCAAACACTGTGAGGCAAGCCCTCATCACCTCATGCCAGGATAACTGTATAGTTCTACTGGCTGGTCTCCTTGCCTCAAGTTTCTCCCCACTCCAGTCATGTTCCACTTAGCTGTCAAATGGATCTTCCTTAAGTACAGATCTGACCACATCACCCTCTATTCAATAAACTATACTGGCTCCCTATTCCTTCTAAGATAAAATATAAAATCATTTGTCTGGCATGCAAAGTCCTTCACAACCTGGTCTCCACATAGCTTCTTATACTCATCCCTGAATAATCAGAAACCTGGTAACAATGCCCTCTTTGCTGTTCCCCCAAAAATTCATCTCCTGACTCTGAATTTCCCATTGGTTATCCTCTATGAATTTTATCCCTCTTCACCTTTGCCACCTGGCTTCCCTGGTTTTCTTTAAATTCTGGCTAAAATCTGACCTTCTACAAGAACTTTTCCCAATCCCTTTTATTGTTGGTGCCTTCTCTCCAATTTATCATATCTGGATCTTGTTTGCACATAGTACTTTGAATGTTTTCTCCCTCATTATACACCTGACACTCTTTGAGAGCAAGGACTGTCTTTTGCCTTTATATCCCTAGAGCTTACGTGCCTGGCACACAGCATTGTAGGTACTTAATAAATGCTTGTTGATTTGACTTGAGAGAATCAGACAGAAGAAGATAGTTCTGAGCTGCACCTTAGAAGGAAGAAAGAGACTCTCAGAGGGAGAAGTAAGAAGGGTGTCTGGTCAGGTAGGATCATCAACGAAAAAGCTTGGAGACAGGAGATGCAGGGTCCTCAGAGAGGAAAAAGATAAGACCATTTGCATAGAGCCCAACCTAGGAGAGAGAGTTAATATCCACTGAATGCTAAGCATTCTAGGTCGCAGCAAAGAACTATAAACAATGTTTGTACTCCCCTTAAAAAAACAACCAAAGACAAAGTAAAACAACCCCTCCCAACCCTAGTTTATGAGGCACAAAGTAGGCACTTAACAAATGCTTGTTGACTGACTGACTGAATGTAATTAATGATGAATTTAAGAGACTCAGAGAAACATGGCAAAATATATTACCTGAATAAGGGAAAATGAAACAATATAAATGAAAAGTAAACTGAAGTCTGAGTTATTAAAAAAAAAAGTTCCAGGGAGTAGAGAATGAAGTACATCGTTATCTTCACAAGACACAGGAGACCACTAAAGCAGATTGTTATATTATACTGTCATCAGATGGTTTTAGCTGTTTGGTTATTAATAAAACATATTTTAAAAAAACACAAATCTACAAAAAAGCTTTGGAGAATGGTCCCATTATGCCAAGAACATAAATAAAATTGAAAGGACAAAGGACTGTCAGAAAATAAGACAAATTTTCAACATATCTATAACAATGTATTTTCATAATCAGGAACAAAGCAACTAGTTTCTGCAGTGTTATATTGAGGGAGCTGAAATAGCACACTTAAAATTACAGAGTTAGGAAGTGGGGCAGACCAGACCAACTATACATGAAGGAAAATTGCTCAAAGTGACAATCCTTAAAGTAGAAGGGCCTCACTTCAAAGAGGAGAAAGCATACGAAAAGAATGAGGAGAGGAGGTAATGAGTGGAGGTGGGAAATCACAGATAACATTATTATCTTAAAAAGACTCAAGAAAACACCACTAACTACTATAAAGTCTTTACGATCATGATTTTTTGGTTTATCTTTGATTAAAATATGAGAAGGGAGCAGGTAGCCTTTTACAAATGATTTTCTACAGCAAACCACACCTTTATAGTCATACAACAACTGATAAAGGCAACAAGATTACAAGATCTTACTATCTGCTGGTTGTTTATTAAAAAAAAAACTTGGTAGAGCAAATCACAGCATTAACAACTCTCCTCTAGCAAGGAGTTTATCATGCATATGTAAGTCCTGGATAAATTCAACCAGAGAGATGCATAAAAAAGTAGGGAGATATATGCTGCCAAAGGCATTTGAGAGACATCACCTGCTTTTGTATGAGGAAGATATTATAGAGACTGCATCAAACCTCAGAATGTTACAAGGCATTCTTAGATCAAAAGATAACAATGAACCTAACAAGCTACAGTAGAAAAACTAAATGGATGAAATATGTTTATTGTTAAACTATAACATGCAATTGGACGGCCAGTTTATTGAGTTACATCTGCAAAAAAAAAAGGTGGGTCAATCAAGTAAGTGGACCAGAGGAAAATAGCCGGACAGCCTGAACTGGCTCATTACTGAGAACCATAAACAGAACTAAAATTAAAGGAAAGCCTGCAGCACCCTGGGTGCATCTTCGGTGGAGGACCTATAAGGGTAAGATTGATATTGATATAAGGCGGCAATGGATGGTATGTCAGTACCAATGGATCCCCTAAAAATCCCCTGGATTACTTTCTCAAAACACTATTTTTAAAAAGTGTTCAGGAATAAGTCATAGCAAATACAACACGCACCAAAGTTGTAAAATCAAGTGGCAATTAATCTATTAATTTTACTTTAAATGCACACAAGCAAGTACTTGAAATTCCATTCAAATGTTTATTAAGTACCCACAGCACAAGGTACTTGGAAGCAAAGACAAAAAAAAAACACACCAACCCTACAAAAACAAAATTAGGCCACGCCCCTCAAAGGAGTTTACATTCTCGGGGGGAGAGGGGAGGTGGAGATCCTAGTACTAGTACACAGATAAGTAAATAACAAGGCGAGGGGAAGCATTAACTCAGGGTACTGAGGGACCACAGAACTAATAAAACCGATAAAAGGTCCAAAGTGTAAGGTGCTGCCCCCTTTCTGGCCTTCCAAAAGGAGGGGCTGCCAGTGGGCAAGTTACGAGCCTGGGAAACCTGCCCTTCGCGTCCTCACCCCAAGTGGACGCAGACTTCCTGGGGATCGGCGGTCAAAGAGCCCCCCAGAGCCAGTCGGAAGGGAAAGGGTTAATGAAAAGGCAAAGTCCAGCCCAAGGCGCTCTCACCGAAGCCCCTGAGGGGACACTGGGGGGAAAAGGGGCTGGCCGCGGCTGGCGTGGGGCGGGGGGCTCGGCACGCACGAGGCCGGCGGGGCGGGGGCGGGAGAGGCGAAGTTCCCCACGCCGCACCCGGCGTTCCCCTAGCACCGATCTCCCAAGGTGAGCCGGTGAGCCGGCGCCCGACACCGAATGGCGGGCCGGAAGCAGGAGAAGCCGCCACCGCCGCCGCTTTCCCCCCCACCCTGCACCCCGCTCGCTACTCACGTGCCAGATGGCGAAGAAGATGAGCGCGGCGGTGAGCAGCAGCGCCAGCATGTAGCAGAAGGCAGCGAACGTGAACGCCATGGCCCAGCGGAAACAGAAAAACGGCCCGGCTGAAGCGACCCAGGCGAGGGCAGACGCGGGGCTCGCTGGGTAAAACCATTCACTTCCCCCCCCCCCGGGCCGCCACCTCCGCCCCGGCCCTCGAAGCCCACTGCGCCTGCGCAAACCGAACGCCGTCCTCGGCTTGGCATCGTGCGCCGCCGCGGCCCTCTGGCGGCAAGAGTTTGCGCAGCGCCAGAGCACGGAAAGTTGGCGTCTCCTAACACGTGTGATGTTGTCTGGGGCTGTTGTGTGTCTGCCTTCTAGCGTACTCAGCCGTGTAAAAGAAAAACAAAGAAAATAGTTCACGTGAAATCGCGGCTCTCTCTCTGTCTCTGTCTGCCTGTCTGTATCTCTCCTCGCCTCCTGACCCGGAGATTGGTCAGGGTCACACCCATTCGTGTTAGAGGCACATATTTGCCGAATTACCTCGTTTGTCACGAACCACCGCCATTTCACTCCGGCTAATAAAGCAGCAAAGTATATAGGAGAACTTTTCCCCCTCCAAATTAAATATATCACCCCTCTCAGGCCCCCCTAAGCCTCATTACCCTCTTCTCAAAGAACCTCTGAGGGACAGCAACAGGTCCCAAACCTGAGCAAATACAGCGGCGTCTTACAGGCTGGATCCTCCTCCAGATCGCTCTCGAACCGTAGATGTCCTAGACTCGGGTTCTATCCTGGGCCCTCTTCTCTTCTCCTTCCATACGACTTCATTTGGTGATTCATCAGCTCCCATGGATTTAAGTAGCATGTCTATGCTGATGATTCTCAAATCTACCTTTTCTGCACCAATATCTCTGCTGACCTCCCTTCTCACATCTCCAATTGCCTTTCAGACATCTCAAACTGGATGTCCAGTAGACATTTAAAATTCACTAAGTCTAAAACAGAACTCACTGCCTTTCCCGCAAACCCTTCCTCCAACCTCCCTTCCCTATTATTGTAGAGGGCAACGCGATCCTCTCAGTCACTTAGGCTCACAAGCTAGGAGTTGTTTTGGTTCCTCATTATGTCTCAGCCGTCTCCTACTTTTCCAGGCTTCTTGCACCTTACTCCCTAATACATGTTCTTTGAGCCTCCTGGCTGTTGAAGATCCATCTCTTGGGCCAGGGCATTTTCTCTGGCTGTCCCCCATGCCTAGAACGCTTTCTTCTTCATCTCTGGCTACTGGCTTCCCTAGCTTCCTTTAAGTCCCAACTAAAGTCTCATCTTTTACAGGAAGCCTTTCCCAACCTCTCTTAAATCTAGTGCCTTCCCTTTGTTAATTATTTCCTATTTATCCTATAGTAGGTGCTTAATAAATGTTTATTGATTAATAGAGCTTATTTTGTATATATTTGTTCGCATGTTGGCTCCTGGTTAGATTGTAAGCTCCTTGAGGGCAAGGTCTCCATATTGCCTCTTTTTGTCTCTCTAACACTTAGCATAGTTCTTGGAGAATAGCAGGCACTTAATAAATGTTTATTGATTGATTGAATAGCAATGCAGTCCAAATTTTAGGGCCAGTGTCAAGCAAAAGAAAAATAAATGTTTATGACTTTTTACATTAAAAAAAAATTTCATGTTCAATGTGCTTTATAGGTTCACTCCCTTAGCCACAGAAGTTCTGTACCTTGTTCTTACCTTATATTTTTAATGTATATTTGTACATTATATTTATATACTTATATAAATATTATATATTTAAATATATTGTATATAATATGTAATATATTTATATATAAATATATTTTTATATTTATAAATACCTTATATTTTAACAAAATGTTAAATAGATGTTGTCCAGTCATATTTAAGCACCCTTTGAGGGGACACAGGGATATGGCCACCTAGTATCACTGAATCAAAGAATGTATAGAGAGTAAGGTGTGAGAACTTGGGATGGTAGGAAGGGGTTAGGTTGTGAAGGGCTTTGAATGCCAAACTGAGGATTTTGTATTTGCTCCTGCAAGGGAGCCATTGAAGTTTATTGAATAGGGAGGTGACATGGTTGGACTTGGGGGAAGTCACTTTGGTGGCTGAATAAAGAATGAATTGGAGTGGGGAGAGACTTGAGGAAGGCAGACGCACCATCGGGCCACTACAAGTTATCCAGGTGTATGTTGATGAAGGCCTGCACTACAGTGGTGGCAATGTCAGAGGAGATTTTACAAAGGTGAAATCGACAAGTTTGGCAACAGTTGGATATGGGGGCTGAGAGATAGTGAGGAATACAGGATGAATCCTAACTTGTGAGCCTGAGAATGGGAGGATAGTATTGCCCTCTATTATAACAGGAAAAGTAGGAGGAGGGGAGGGCTTAGGGGGGAGGATAATGAGGTTGGTTTTGGGAGGATCCAGGACGGGAGACTGAAAAGTGGTCAGACAGGTAGGAGAACCAGGGAAGAATGGTGTCCTGAAAACCTAGTGAGCAAAGGATGTCAAGGAGGAGAGGATGATTGTCACATGCTTCAAAAAGGTCAGGGAGAAAGAGAATTGAAAAAATGTCATTGGGTTTGGCAATAAAAGATCATGGGTAACTTTGAAGAGAACAGTTTTGGTAGAATGATGATGTTGGAAGCCAGATTGAAAGTGGATGCACCTACTGTAGATAGTTTTTTTAAAAAAGGAATTTAACCACAAACAGCAAAAGAGTTATAGGACAATAGTTACTGGGGATGCAAGGATCAAGTGAAGGTTTTTTGAGGAAATAGGACACATGGGCATGTTTGTAGACAATAGGGAATGATCCAGTAAGAAAGGGAGAGATTGAAAATAAGTGACAGTGAGAATGACAGAAGGGGCAGTCTGTTGGAGGAGATGGCATGGAATGAAATTGCTTGAGCAGGCAAGGAGTAAGGACATTTCATCACAGGAAACAGGAGTGGAGGAGAAAGTAGCATAAGACTCATGAGTAATATGAAATGAGGAAGAGGGGAGAAGAGGGAGCTCTCAGTGAATGGCCTCATTTTCTTTTGTAAAATATGAGATAAGGTTCTTAGTTGAGAGGCTGGGGGGAACAGAAGCAGTAGGAGGTTTGACAGGTAAAAAGGTTTTGAATAGCTATGGAGAGTGGGATAGTGGGTTGATAAGGGAGGCTACACACAAAGATGGTCAAAGATTGGCTTTCCACTCTTTCCTCTAATTGGCAGTACAATAGGATTGCTTAGCAAACAACCAAGACCCATTTGAGGTTATCTAACAGATGTGTGGTGGACGAAATCAGAATGGTTGCATGATTTTCTCCACCTTTTCAGTAGGACATGTGTTGGACAGAGTGGCAGATGGTAGGAGTCAACCAAGGCTGAGGCTTGGCTTGGTACAGTTACTGAAATGATAAAAGGGGCTCAGGGTTTGAGTATAGAGTTGAATTGATTCACCATGATGTCAAAATGTGGAAAAGAAGTGGCTAGTGCAGGGGAAAGAGCCTGGGAGAGGACTGAGGGATTGTGAAATTGGAGGTAGAAGATGAAGATGTAGATGAAGAGTAGGGGTTTGTAAGGGAAGGTGGAAGGAGAAGTGGAAAGCCAATAGATTACGGTCAGATAAGGAGATGTCAGAATTCTGGAACAAATAGGTAATATATTTGTGGATTATGGCAAGATCATGGGTATGACCATTTTTGTGAGTGGCTGAGGTAGAGTAGTAGATCATGGCAAGTGAGTAGTTTGAGGAACTGGGTGATTATGGTGTTTGAGGGAGAGTCAATATGTATGTTGCTCTAGTGTGAGGGCAGGAATTGAGGAAGAGAGAAAAATTGTGAGCCATGTACCAAACTCATTAAGGAACAAAGGGGAGTGACCTCGAGGCCTGTAGACAATAGCTACCAGGATTTGATTGAGGGATAAAGATAAAATGCAAGAACCTAAAAAGAAGAGAAATTACTGAATGACACAGGGAAGGAGAAAGCCTAGAATGGCAATGAGGAGTGAGTATTCTAATTTCCCTGCCTTAACTAGTAAGCTAAGAGGAGCAAATAAAGATGCAGCCAGTGTTGGAAAGGGTAGCCAGAGAAGCTATCATCAGGGAGGTGTCAGGTTTCAGTAATAACTAGGAGATGGAAGGAAAGGAAAAGATTTTCGACCAAGGGAAGTTTATTGCCTCTGGAACAGGCATTCCAGAGGGCACAGTGGAAGGGGTGGGTGGTATTTGGTTGGAACTTTGGGATAGGAGTAAGGAATTGGGTGGTGAAGGGGATGGGGGAATGGGATTTGGATGACGAGGGGTTCAGAATCATTGGGAATATATAGGGTATGATCAGGTGTGAGAATATTTATCATTGAGTAGATGGCAATATTCCTTTTCCCAAAGTAGGCTAGAGATTGGGCTGGCAACCATTTAAACATGAGATGCAAAACACAATCAATTGGTCAGATGAGAGGCCCAGTTTCACTATTCCTTTTCTCTCAGAAGGTTGGGGATTAGGCAGGAAAATAGCACAGCAGGAAGTGGAAATGAATCTGCATAACAGAAGGTAGTCCTAAGACTTTTCTCTTCCTTTTTCACATCTCTAAAGAGATTGGCACAGGAGGAGATGCAGGGCCTAAGGTCAAAGAAAAGGTTGTTCCTCTTTGCACCCAAATATGCCTCTTACTGTGAAAAGGTACCCCAAACAATGATTTTATTTAAAAACAAGTTTTTCATTTAGCTGGATCTTATTGAAGTTACACATATACAGAGATACAACATCCACTCGGGGTTCTGGCTTCATGTAAATGACAGAATGAACTGACCTTGTCAGTGAAGTTATCATTATTGATTTTGGATATTTTCACTGCTACAGAAATTCAAAGAACAGATAAGGATAGCCATTAATTTTATTGAGGGTAAGAAACTTTGGGAGAATGCCTTTTCATTCATTCAGCCTTTGATTCAGTAAGTTACGTTACAGAGAAATATCCATGCCACATTGTACATTCTGCACTGCCCTTTTGAGAAAGAGGCAAACGAGAAGAAAACCTCTATTAATATTTTTGAATGTTGCAGCAGATTTAGTCCACCATCTATATCTATGGAAGTGACTTACAAGTTTTTGCCTTGAGATTACCTAAGAGTCTTCATTCCCCAAATGTTATCAAAATTTGAAATTTTTATTTAAAGCATTTAAAATATTAAAAGCAAAAATAAATTTTTCATGGGGCAATAAGAGGCTATAATTTTCATACATACATACATATATTTGTATATATGTAATATTCACAATAAAAGGAGAGATTTCTGGCATTTGGTTATCCATGATGACAGAGAAAATAATATTGATGACAAGAATCACATTTATATCTTGATACACATATATACATATCTGATATACACACCCTTACATAAATATACACAGATATGTATATGTATATGTGGAGGAAAAGAGAGAGAGAGAGAGAAAGAAAGATAACGAGAGATAAAGAGAGAGAGAGGTAACATGGGAACAATGGGTAAGAAGCTGCCTCAGAGTCAGGAAGACCTTTGTTCAAATTATTCCTCTAACTCATGCTTGTTTTGTGACCCTTGACAAGTGTCAAAGTCTACAAATTGTACAACAGCTGAAGAGCAGCACTGGTTCTGTTAAAAATAGATCTTAAAGAGCTGAATGATGTTAAGAATTAACTTCATCTTGTTCCATATTTGCTATTTACTATGTATTGCTTTAACAAGTTACTACTGTATCAGCTTACAAGAGGCTGTCTTCCTTTCTAATTGCAACAAAAGGTGGTCCAAGGAAATCTGCTCCTTTTACCTTGGTCTCCCAAGAAGTGTTTGGTCCCCTTTGATCTAATCTAAATGGCCAAACATGCATACATTCCTTTTTTTGTAACAAATGATAAGCATCCTCTTTTATGGTAACCACTCTATTTGACCAAGATGCTTGGTAACTAACATACTCTTTGCCTCACATAACAAATGGTTGTGTGGATGGTAGAATGGTATAAATGTTACTAGATAAATTATGAGAGACACACATATCCATCAGCAGCTAGTGGCGTGTCTCACTCTGAGGGAATAAACTGCAGTATTCCAGCCTGTGTTTCATGTGTTACCTTTCTGGTAGTAGCTAGGCAAGGAATTTTAAGGAAAGCTCATGCAACAGTTTTATGTGTGTATGTCTATTAATATGAATAGACATATACATATATTGCACAGAAATATATATCAGAAAAAAGTTCAACTACAGTATTTATATTATTGAAACTAACACTCATTAATTTGCTTCAAATACTATGCAATGGGAAAATAAAATCCAAATCCTATACAGTGCAATAGCACAGGGTACAGAATTTTATTAGATGTCATGACTTTAGTAATTAAGTTATAATCTTTAATTGAAAAATATTTTTAGACTTTGATTTTTTTCCCTGAATATAATATGTAAACTACATGTAAGATTTCAAATAGTACCCTTGTTGATAATCTAAATGACAAGTACTATAGTCAGATAATTCTGTGGTGGTGCCATAATATGGGAAACTTGGAGAGTTACATTTGGAAAAATGAGGTTTCCCCCACGTTTTCTGTTGTAGATGATATGTAGGAATGAAAAGGCAGAATAATAGGAATGAGGTAGAAAACATCTATACTCTAGCTAATCAACTTAACAAAATATTGTCTTTCAAATCAAGAAAGGTTCTTCTACTTGTTACAACTGTTGGTTCAATTTTCTGTATAATATTGGCCCTCAAAAAATGACAACTGTCTAAATTCACTAGATAATTTTTGATTTTTTTTCTGGGGTATTCAGTGCTTTTTGACTCCTTACCTCTTTACAACAAAGAGTCAAATCCCTTGACCAATATTCTATTCTGCTTCTATTTACTGATAAAAATTTACTGCTTAAGCTAGTAGTTTCTAAATAGTGTGTTCTGTAAATGAACCATTTTAACATCAGAGCAAGCCTCTTTACAATTTAAAAAAATAATTTTTTTTTCACCTTCCCCTTACTCTGCACTGAATTCCCTTTTTCAGCCCAAGTTGTTCCAGTTATAAAAGAAGCCTTCTGTATCCAGTCACAATATTCCTAGCTAGGTAGCCAATGAAGATTTTAAGTAATGGTGAAAAAAAAAATGGAAACATTATTCTTTCATGTAACATTTTATTTAAACCAATACACTCATCATGCTTAGCTAGAGACCATTTAAAATAAACATGCAGTATGAAATAGCGAAGACTGACACAACGTGAGGAGGTTGAGCCACTTGTTACTGTTAAAACAACTACATGAAACTGTTAACATAGATGAGACTGAGCTTAATGTTTCAAGCTTCCTTGATAAAATAAGGTTGTATTAGAACATTGCCATCACTGGAAGCTTGACCTGCCATGTCAGAGTTCTCAAAACGTTCAGGTAATCTTTGTGGCTATGGAAATTTGCAGTTTCAATGAAAACTTAATTCAGTCCTTTAAATCGAAATATTACAGGTATCTAATTACTATTATGTGTAGAAGATATGAGAGTAAACAACTTAAAGTTTTGCTTAAATATATTCTACTTGGGACCCTTTGTTACTAGATAAAAGGTTAATTTTTTCCCCTCAAATATAAAATAAAATTTGACCAGAAGATTTTGAGACTGACTTTTATATGCTAAGTTGTGATGGCTCAAATCCCAGATTCCAGTATAATCAACCTAATCTATTGAATTAACAGAGATAACACATAGTGCTAAAGGAGTAATTACAAAACACGAATTACTCCCTATTTCTACCAAATACTAGCATTTAAACTTCTATGAAAACATCCAAAATCATTAGTCCAACTTTATGGGTTAATGACTTACAATTATGCTTATGTCTGAAAATTAATCTAGTCATTTTTAATTAGTAAGAGCTTAAAAACAAATCCACAAACTTTATTTACTCAATGAATTTTTGAATATCAAAATCAAACCTGGTAATAAACTTCCAATGCCAGAGATTTTATTCAAGGTTCAGACCTGAGCACACCAACTTTTTATGGCTGTCTGACTCCTGAAAATAGGAGTTTTTATTAGGGGAAAAAGTGTTGCAAGACCTTTTGCTACAAAGGCTATTATTAATATTGCTATAAAAATATTTGTAATTGTATCAACACTTGCTCAAATATAAGAGGGTGCTTAACTGTATTAGGCATGTAGTAGACATTTCCAGAAACAATAATACAAAACTGATGGCTTAAAAAAAATCTAAAACTCAGTGTAATAGATTGGTAATAGGCTCTTTCCTAGATTTGCTCTGATACCAGAAAAAAGAACGCTACACGATGCTTGGAGAACATTTTGACATTACAATATAGTAATCGATCAACCACCAATCATTTATTAAGCACCTACTATGTGCTAGGCACTGTTTAACCTTCAAATGTAGATGACTTCCCCACATAAACTAAATACAGGACGGGATAATTCATTTGTCCCACCTTGACAAAATGTACTCTTACTGCAATAATGCAAAAAAAAAAAAAAGGCCAACTATTTCCAAATGAATGCTAACTTAGATGGCAAGTAACTAAAGTCATGCCTGTGAGGCAATTAGTTCTTGAAGTCTGATCAGCAACCCTCCCAATAGTCTCAAGGTCTGAAAGTGCTACCAGATGAGGGAAAGATGAAGAACTATTAAGTATAAAAATCAGATTATGAACCAGATGGGAGCAGTTTCTATTTGGAAGGTGGGAAATATTTTAAAATGGAATGGAATAAATGGAATGAATTCCGTGGTAATTCTTTGAGGAAGAAAAAAGAGAAAGGAGCAAAGATACAGACTGTTACAAGGGAAATTTAATAATCATTATAATAGCTAAGATTTACATACAGCCTTAAGGTTTGCTAAGTTTTTCATACATATTATCTCATTTGATCCTCTCAACACCCCTGTGAAGGTGCTATGAAACTTATTTTAAAAGAAACCCAAAATGTACTAGGACTAAAAAATGTTTTCATTTTCAAATTCTGAGAATATTTTTTCTAGTATTGGTATTAATTGTTCCTTAAGAGTTTGATAGACTTCCCCTGTAAGCCCATGAGGACCATGGCTTTTTTCTTGTTAGTTCCTTTACAGCTAGTTCTAGTACTGGAAAAAGGGACCATAAAATAATGAAGTGACAAAGGGGAATCTGGCCAAAAGTCTGAGAACATTTAAGCTCAGGTGTCTCTAATAAAGCACTGTGCTAAGGAGGCCAAGGTTGCAAGTTTAATGACCAGTTATCAAAGTTAATTTCATAGTAGAAAAAAATATCACTTCCATTGAACCCATTACTATAACTAGCTGCCTTTAAATGTATGTATGCCATTGGTCATAAAGGGAAGAATCTGGATTGTTTATCACAACCCAGTGCCACAACTAGAAAAACAATGAAAAATTATTTCAATGACAGTAGGTCAATAAGTATACAGGATCTTAGTACAAAAGACAAAAATTTCCTATATTTTAAGATCACAGCACATTAAATACATTCTTTGACAGCACTGTTTCCTTTTATTGCTGTGACCTGAGACAACAGAATATTACTTCTTTAGTCAAAAGCATGCCTACACTAATAGCATAGAGGTTTTACCCTCCTGATTCCAGAATTCCAGGATCAGGATGTGACTTCAGTCACTGAACGTCTCTCCGCTTCATGTTACTCATTTATGAAATGAAGAGGTTGGACAAGATGGCCTCTAAAATTTCTTCCAGTCTAGATCCAAGATCCTATGAATGTAAGTGACATTTCATTTCTGAAAAGTCCCAAAGAGCAAAAATTGTGTATTTAAATAAAAGTTCATAAAATTCTTAAATTTTGTAGAAGTAATATGTGAAAGAAATAAGGAATCTCTTCTACTCTTTAACAATAACAACAAAGAAAAAAAACACAATAAAAATCTCTTTTCTCTTTTTTCCATATGTCTTATTTCCTGTTTCCTTTAATTTCCTGCTTTCCTATTAAGGAAGATACATGATAAATTATTTAGGTCATGAAAGATTCTCATTCAGTAATATTAGAAAATGTTAATACCTCTAAATTTAGTTGGCACATACATTTGAAAGAAAGATAGAAATTATGAATTAAATATAATCCATTGCAAAAAGGCTTTTGCTAATTTTTTTAGAAAATGACTAAGATATAAGATGAATCATTTTACTTGGTTGTTACATTACTGTTTGAGGACAGATCTTGGTAAGTCTTTGTAAAATGTCTACTTTTGAATGTTTTAAAGTAAACATTTTAAAAAGACATTTTAAAGTATCCTTCATAATAAGATTTATGCTAATGACATGTATGAAGAATAGCTCAATTATTCAAGTATTCATTTAGCTTGGAATGCCATTCTGATAACTAAAGTATTACAGCATCAATATGAATTTGATTGACATATTATTTTTGTTGACATATTATTGTTAATAACATATTGACTTATGTTATTATTGACATATTATTCCAAACAGTTAGTATGACCAAGGTTTAAGATCAATACTTCTTCCCTCTGATACAAATCTAAATCACCGACACATACAAAATCCTAACTTTTAACTGCCAGGTATTCACTAATGCAAGGAAATGGCTGGAATTTACAGAAGTGAAGTTGGTTTTGTTACAAATTTCAGTTATAGAATTAGACACTACAAAACATTTTACTTGGACCTTTACAAAAGTATTCATTTCAACAAGTCTGGATTACTGGCAGTGTAAAACTCTCTAGATTAATTTTAAAGCTAACAAATCAAAGGCACAGTATTAACAGGTTTAAAATGACTAACACTCATATGACATCAGGAAATACTCAAGTTTATAATTCCATAGTACTTAATATTGTTCGATAATTATGGATATTAGAGGTTATGGAAGAAAAATGTAGTAAACTAAATTAAGTTATAGAATTAATGAAAAAAGACTTAGAATACATGATACTCTAAGGTCATATTTATAGGCTCAAATTTGGGTGATTCAAGCCTTAAAATGTGTTTCACATATCTGACAAGTAATATTATGCTAACATCCAGTACTTGTCAAAAGGAGGCAACCATTGCTCATCAAAAGCAAATTACCCATTTTCCAATGGTGAATGAAAATAGTAACAAATTCTGAACCAGAAGTAATAGAAATTAGTCACAAGAGTGCAAAAATTCCCTGCAGAAGTATTCCACTAAACAATTACAAATATGAGGAAACACTTTTAAAATTTTCATTACTATAAGAAGAATCTTCTCCTTTGTACAAACTTTGTACAACTGAAGATTTTTATTTGCTGCAGGAAACAGAATTGTAAATAACAGTGCATTTTTAGGCATAAATAAGTATTTATGTCTGGTTCCAGTATAGTCAGGTTAGTACATAAATACTTAAAGAGTAACAGGAAGTTCACTTTAGTGGAAAAATCCAAGTTTCTCACATAACCATTCTTCAGTTAGATCTTCAGTATTTCTTATTTCAAATACCTTGAAAGACAAAAGCTGAAGTTAAAATTGTATCAAAATTTAGTTTCATTTTCCTTATCTGACCTCTGTGAACAGCAAATTGGGACTCTTAAGGAATGTTCAATTACTGATACTTAATATTTGGGAGAATTAATTTAAAGTATTTACTCAAAAGGACTGGAAGAGGTATAAATCAGATAAAAACATGTACTGGGCCTGAAAACTCAAATATTCCAAAGAATAGGTCTGAAAACTATAGGCCAGAGCACTCAAGTTTCAGTTGACTTTTTTCTTCTGGTGAGGCAAGGGGATTAAGTGACTTGCCTACGGTTACACAGTTAGTAAGTATCAAGTATCTGAGTCCAAATTTGAACTCAGCTCCTTCTGACTCCAAAGCTGGTATTCTAGCCACTGTGCCAACCACCCCTCAGTTGACTTTTAAAAGACTGGAGATAGTCAATGAAGTAACTGGGCTGTGGTACACTTTTGACAGAGTGGATTAGAACACTGTTCACTCCCACCAAATGATCACAACTCTCAAAGTTTATATGTTCCAAGAAATATTCCTCAAAATGTAGAACAAATAGTCCTTCCACTTCTGGCAGACTAGAACCATTTCAAATTTGGGTAAATCACTCATAGTCCACTAGCTGCGTTTACTCCACCCTTGATCAAAAAATCCCTCAGCACCAGAGATGCTGCTTCAGGGTAAAAGGTAGAGGAAAAAATGCACAAATAACATTCATATAGGCTGATGGGTGGAAAGCAATGGGGGTAAGCCTTAAAGCAAAGCAAAGAGATGGGAGGCAGCTGAATAAGAGAAGAGGTGGGAAAGATACTATATTAAAAAATAAACTAAAATTTTTTTGATTAATCTATTTTTATTACTATAACATGAGGAATAAGAAAATCATCAACTAAAAACTGGTATAGGAAGTTCAATAAGTTTTTAGAGAAACAAGATTTTATTTCAGTCTTCAACAGGACCAAAGGACAGCAAGTAGTTATGAAGTCTTATATCAATCTCCTCGTATAAGGAAAGTGGTATGTTCTTTAAAAATCATTAATAATCTTAAATATCCCAAGAATGTTAATCTTGGATTCTAAGAAATCATTTAGTTTTGGGTACAGTTAACTGCATAGTAAGTAGCTTACTCACTGAACTGGATTCATTCAATAAATGATTTCCTAATCTTCTGTAGTGACGTGCTTTAGTAAGCACATTCTCAACAAACAAGTCATATATTAAAATGATACCTTGGTTAGTTCAGCTGTTTGAACTAGCTTATTCTTACTCCCAGCATACATCATCTGTTGTTCAGGCTTACACCCTGTAGTTTAGAAAAGAGGGAAAGCAGGAGATATGAGAATTTGAGAAAGAAAAATTGAAAAACTGTTTTCTTTACTTACATTTAATTTAGTTACATTTATTTAGAATTTCTTTTGATATTAAGACAAATACAATTAAATTCGCATGTCCCATACTTCGAAGTATTCATTAAAGCACACACATGAGTTGATATCAAAGATATATTTGGTCAGAAACTGGTTATATTGTGAGAATGAGGAATAACAAAAGGTCAAGCTTGTATCACTGGTACTCCTAAAGTGCCAAGAGACAACAAGTGCTGACATCATTTTTAGCTCTAAAGTTTATAAAGCCCTTTACCAGCATTTCATTTGATCCTTACAGCCCTGTTAGGTTAGGTGCTATCTACATTACTACCCCATCCTTCAGATAAGGAAACTGAAACTCAGAGGGTGAGTGACTTCTCCGAGGTCACAATGCAAGTTAAGTGTCAGAAGCAGGATCTAAACTTTGGTCTTTTCTGACTCCAAGTTAAATGCTCTTTCCATTACACCACCCTACATCACTAGGAAGATCTTCTAATGCTGGGTAGATAACCTGGTAGAGAATTTATGGGAAGATATAATGGACAAGAGTCAAATAGGACTCTTTTTTTTTCCTCTTCAAATTCCTGGTTTAATATATATATTTTTAATTTTGAAGAAAAAAGTTCCAAACAGCAGGCTGCTTCACATGAATAACTCACAATATCAACTTTTTTTTTGGGGGGGGTGTTGGGGGCATGGGGAGTGAGGCAATAAGGGTTAAGTTACTTGGCCAGGGTCACACAGCCAGTAAGTGTCAAGTGTAATGAAGCCGCATTTGAATTCGGATCCTCCTAACTCCATGACTGGTGCTCTATCCACTGCATCACCTAGCTGCCCCACAATATCAACTTCAGAAAACAAAGTCTGTTTAAAAGAAATATATGTAGGTAAGAAATAACCTGTAGCCCTGAAGAAAATACCCATGTCAATGAGATCCACTGAAATACTGGAGAACCAGATTACACGCGAGCATGCAAAAGATGCAATTACATTATATTTAACACCATTCAAAGTAAATATAAGTAAAGTAGTCAAGTTTCAGCCAACTGCAGCTTTGATTCACAATCCTTAAGTTACCAAAAAGACAAGAATACTCTGTACTCTGGCTTATGCATTATAAAGAGCTGGACTTCTAGCAACTATCTACACTTGACTGATTGACTATCCAGATAGATTTTAATAAAGCTTTACAATTTGCAAGGTACTATTAGGTGCTGTGGGAGAAAAAGAAAAGTACAAAAGTCTTCTCTCCACAAGCTAGTTGTGGAAATGATTCATCCTTTTAGAGATTTCACATGCATCTAAACACATATGTAATATAGGAATAGAGATCAGACTTATGATGGCATTGGTACAGAGAACACCAAGTTAAGTAAAGTCTGTTTACTGCTCACGTTGACACATCCTCTGCAATCTTAGAGAGCTAACATGGCATCAAGAGGTAAAACGACTCGCCAAAGGTCAAACAGTCAGCAGCTAGGAGAAGCAGGGCTTAAACCCAAGTACTTCTGGCTCCAGCCCCAGTTTTCTGTGCCCTATATCATGCTGCCTTTATGTACACCTGAGATTTCAGGAAGGCAGATTTCAAAGAGTACAGAAGGATAGATAGGATTCCATGGACTAAAATTCTATAAGGGAAGTCAGCCTAGTAGGGAAAGGTGGCTCTGAAGAATGAAATTCTGAAGATAGTGAAACAATTCTGATGAGGAAGAAAAAGAGATTGATAGGGATACACAGGAAATTCAGGAGCCAAACTAGATTTTTAAGAAATATACTGGTAACAGAAGATGAATACAAATGCATTGTAGAGAATACTGGCATGCTGAATGAGGTAAGGGTGGTAGGGAAAGGTAAGGACAACAAAAACAGGTTTTGTTTTGTATTTTTTTTTTTTGGCTAGGCAATGAGGTTAAGTGACTTGCTCAGGGTCAACACAGCTAGTAAGTGTTATGTGTCTGAGGCCGGATTTGACCTCAGGTCCTCCTGAATCCAGGGCCAGTGCTCTATCCACTGTGCCACCTCGCTGCCCCTTGTTTTGTATTTTTAAAAGCTATCCTGGGATAAAGAAGATGACAATCAGTATTCAGGGAAGAGGGGCTATTGATAACTGACTACAGAGAGACAGCAAAGATGTTCTTATTTTGCTTCTGCTATCTCTGCCTAAGAAGATGAGCTGCAGCCTGCAAAGGACAGAACAATGGCTAACAGGGAGCTTATACTAGGCCTGAGTAAGAAGGTATTGATAGACTGTCCATCTACTCTTGATGAATTCAAAATGTCATCAATGAGCCACTTCAGTACTAATGATGTGCGGGATAAGCCACTGTCAGTGACAATGATGTGCCACTTTCAGTGATAGCTTAAAAATTATGGAGAATTGTAAAGATACCACAGAACTGCAGAAAGATAAATATCTTGATTTTGAAAAAAACAGAGAGAGAGAGGGAAAGAACATAATCTGGAAACTTTAAGCCAGTGACCTTGACACTGATTCATGACAAAAGTCCAAAATTATTAAAGAAGCGATTACTGAACATCTAGAGGAGGAGCCACTGACTACAAAAAGCCAGTATAGCTTGATCAAGAAGACATGATGCTAGGCTAACCTTGTTTTCTTTTTTGATGGGATTACTAAATTGTTGTATAAGAGGAACACAGTTTTTCTTGGCAATAGCAAAACATTTGATTGTCTCTCCATTTCATGCAGAAAAGATGGAGATGTGGCCTAGGAAAGATACAATTAGATGGACTCAGAACTGGCTTAAAAGTAGTCACTAATAGTTTGATATCATTTTGGGAGGTCTTCAGGGAGGAAATGGATAAATGAATGGAAATTATTTTTTAAGGTTACACATGTGCGATCATGTTAAACATATTTCCAAATTTGTCATGTTGTAAAAGAAAAAACAGAACAAAAAAGGAAAAACCAAGAAAAAAAAGTGAAAACAGTATGCTTCAATTTGCACTCAGATTCCATAGTTCTTTTTCTGGATGTGGACAGCAGGAAAATCATTTTTGAAGAGCTTACTATTTGCCAAGCACTGGGGATAAAAACAGAAAAGTGACACAGTCCCTGCTTTTAAGAAGCTCACATTCTAGTTGAGGGAAGATTGAAGTTAAACCCTGCTCCATTTAACATTTTTATCAGTGACTGAGATAAAGGCATTGAGCACATACTTCAAGTTTGTGAAAGACAGAAGGTTGGGATGTACTGCCAGCACAATGGATAAAAGGATGTTAATAGGCTAGAATACAGGGCCAAATCTAATAAGACAAAATTTAATAGTAACTTACCTGCAAACAATTAATTTCACAATGTACAAGATGGGCATCTACCTCACCAAGATTGTTGTGAAAATCAAATGAGAATACACATGTACAAAATATTTATAGCTGTTCTTTTTAGGATGCCCATCAACTGGGGAATGGCTGAGCAAGTTGTGGTATATGAATGTAATGGAATACTATTGTGCTATAAAAAATGATGAACAGGCTGACTTCAGAAAAACCTGGAAAGACTTGTATGGTCTGATGCTGAGTGAAGTGAGCAGAACCAAGAGGACTTTGTACACATTAATAGCCACGTTATGCAATGACTAATATTGTTAAACTGAACCCTTCTCAGCATTACAAGGATCTAAGACATCTCCAAAGGTGTCGGGATAGAAAATGCTGTCCACATCCAAAGAAAGAACTATGGAAGTCGAATCGCTATCATTTATTTTTACCTTCTGTGAGTTTTGTTTCATCTTTCTGATGGTTCCTCCTATTGGTTTTAATTTTTACTTACAACTTCACTAATGTGAAAATGTTTAATGGGTATGTAAATGTAAAGCCTATATCAAATTGTGCGCCGTCTTGGGGAGGGTTGGGGGGGAGGAAGGGGAAGAAAAATTTTCAACTCAAAAGCATATGGAAGTGGTTGATAAATCAAAATAAATTAATAAAAATTTAAAAATAAAGTGATTCTAAACCACAAAAAAAATCAAATGAGAATATATGCAAAACTAATTAAGGCCTGCATGGGAGCTATTATATTTAGGTCATAACAGATAAATATATTTAAGTTACATGTAAAAAACAATGGGGATATAGGGCCAGAAAATCAGATTTGGTCATATGGCTGAAAGTATTTTTTGGGGAAAAAAGTGATGAATAGGCAGGTTATGGAGCCTGGCCATTATTTTTTAGAAAATGTGGACCAATTGAAAAAGGAGAGTACTGGGCACAAAAATCTAGTGGCAGTGTACAAGAAGGAATGAAGGGGGTAAAGACTAGAGGTGAGGGGATCGATGTAGTTTTTACAGAACATAAGTGGATAAGAGACTAAATTAATGTGGTAGTAGTGGGAATTAAAGTAGTTAACTTAAGTAACTTCAATTATCTAGACATCTGCTAGAGCTCTTGCTCTGCCAAAAAGCAGAGCAGCTAATAACATCTTATTATTTCATCCTTCGAGAAGTAGAAGGACAAAGAGAAATTCTATTTTGGATATGAATCTCACCAACAAGGAAAAGATGAAAATGTGGGGTGAAAATATGCAGAATCTTAGTGGCACAGGGAAGAAGTAACTACTCTATTTTAAGAGCATATTATAGTGGGGGCAGCCAGATGGCAGTGGATAGAGCACCGGCCCTGAAGTCAGGAGGACCTGAGTTAAAATCCAGCCTCAGACCAAACACTTGACACTTATTAGCTGTGTGATCCTGGGCAAGTCACTTAACCCCAACTGCCTAAAAAAAAAATGTGGAGAAAAAGAGTATATTATAGTGGACAGAAATAAAAAGCTAGGTATACTCAGACATGTATTTTAGATTTGGGGAAGGCAGATTTCATAAAGTTCAGAAGAAAGGTAAGTAGGATGCCACTGACTAAAATTTTATAGCAGATGACAGCTCAGGAGGGACAGGAAACTCTCAAGAATGAAATTGTGAAGACTGTAACATGAACCTAAGGCCAACAGAAAGGATTAGTGTACTTGCACATGTGTGTGTGTTTGAAGTGAAATGGAGGGAAAATGAAGAACAAGGGAAGTGAGAGGACTGTTGCATGGAAGGGGTGGAAGGAGGTAAGCTGCAAACAGAGAGGCGGCTGAGGGGCTCAACTCTTATTTTGCTTCTATTTTCTCTGCTCAGGAGAGTGACCTGTGCATGTGAATAGAAAAAAACGGCTGAAAGGGAGTTGGTACCCAAGATAAGCAAAAAGAATAAGAGAATACCTAGCTGCTCTTATTGAATTTAAGTCATCCAGCCCAGATTAACTATATTGTTGGCTACTGAAGGAACATGCAGGTATGAGTGTTGGGCTGTGGTCAGTGATATCTGAAAGACCATGGAAAACAAGATGGGAGAAGTGCTGTTCACCTAATTTTCTAAAAAGAGAAGGGGAACAGAATGGCCAGACTTTAAGCCTATGAACTTGATTTCCTGGAAAGATTTTAGAACGGATCATTAAAAAGATGGTTTGTGACTATCTATAAAAAGAAGTGATTTCAAAGAGCCAGCATGCCCTGATTAAACTAATCTGATTCCCTTTTGACAGGGTTACTCAATTGGAGGATGAGGATGAAATCCTATAGATAAAATTTACATGTATTTTGAAGTGCTAAAGTATCACATATTTTTATGGAAAATATGGAGACTAGATAATTGGTTAAATGGCAAGATTCTGGAGTAGTCATTCAATGTCAACTTGGCAGGCCTATACTCAATTTAAAAGAAAAGTCAAATTCAAAAATAAAGGATCAGGGATGTATGTTTAGACAATATTTCCATCTGAAAAAGATCTGAGGGTTTTACTGGACTTCAAGCTCGATGAGTCAGCAGTATAAGATGGCAGCCAAGAGAGCTAATGAAGTCCTAGACTACATTAATAGAGGTAAGCATTACGAGTTTCTAGAAATAAAGAGATGATTATCCTCTGTACTTTTTCCTGTTAAGAATACATCTGTATAATTGTGTTCAGTTCTTGGCACCTCTTTTAAAAGGGTTATGATAAGCTAGAAGGTGTCAGAGAAAGGCAACCAGGATGGTGAAGAGTGTTCAGCCTATGTCACACGAGGATAAATTGAAGGAACTAGGGATGTTCAACCTGGAGAAGTCAGATGGGTGGGGAGAACACTATGTAGAAGAGGGATTAGACTTGTTTTGTTGTTTGGCTGCAGAGGCTAGAATCCAGGGCAATGTGCAGAAATTGTAAAAAGGCAAATCTAGGAAAAACTTCTAATGATTAGAGGTATGCCAAAATGGAATGGACTATTTCAGGAAGTTGTAAGCTCTTCATTCAACTTTTCAAACAGATCATGGATTACCACTTATCAGATATATTGTAGTAGGGAGTCCTTTCAGGTATGATTTGAACTAGATGGCCAGAAGTCTCTTCTAATTCTGAAGTTCTGTGATGGGGAGATGTTACAAAGGAAGATTATACAGGTTTGGTAACTAACTATATATAGGAGTCATGTGACAGAGTCAAGAAAACTTTATTGATATAATGTTTTCCTTAATGTCTAGTCTCTGGAGTTCCACAATCTTTTCTCGTGATGGGTATAAAGAGATAGTTTCGGGGCAGCTAGATGGCGCAGTGGATAGAGCACTGGCCCTGAAGTCAGGAGGACCTGAGTTAAAATCTGGCCTTAGACCAAACACTTGATACTTACTAGCTGTGTGACCCTGGGCAAGTCACTTAACCCCAACTGCCTAAAAAAAAAAAAGACAAAAAAAGACAGTTTTGCTTATTCGAGCTCTGTTAACTGCAAATGTCACCCTTCCTCATTCTCAATGAATCAATACTGCTTTTTAAAATGAACCAATACTGCTTTTTAAAATGAACAAATGAATGAAAAAGCATGTACTGCCTTCTATTAAATGTATACATACATTCAAGAAATTTATATGTAGCTATATTAAGAGGACATTTATTCTGCTTGTTAAGACCTTTGTGTATTTTTCCCCCCTTTCCCTATAGAATCTGAGTTAGCATGTCATATTTTGAATCCCAAGGTGGAAAATCATAAACACCTCTATAAGTTCTCTGATTCATCAACAGAAAGAATAACCCAAGGCCATTCTTCTGGCACTTGCCAGATAATTTAAGAGGCAGAACTACAAGGCAATTCTGCCTACACCAATGAACATGTATCCAGTAAGTGTTAACTGTCCCTTGCTTTTTGCTTTCATCCCTATCCACTCCTTTCCCAATAATGACTTCAAGAAATGCCCATCCCATCAAATGGCTTCAGTCTGTCTAGCATCACATATGCCAAACTCTGTCTTACATTTCCCTTGTTACATAACCTTGAGTAAATTAGAGAACATAACAGTCTCACACTCTCATCTCCCTCAACCAATTACTGTACTTCCTAAGAACAGATCTAGAAGCAGATAGCAGATGATAACTTGCTCCCCAGTAACACCACCCTCGAATCCCCCCAAAGAGAGGACCATCTCTGTCACATCAGAAATGAGACCTTTTCTTCTTTAAAAAAAAAAATAGTGAAAGAAAGCCAGGGAGCCATCTTTAACGCTGCCACAACCATTCCAATATGGTGAACTGTCACACTATTACCCAGTCTAGAAATAGACTCAGAAATCTGTAGCATTCTACTCCTGTCTCCAGTTAGCAACAATGAACATTCTTTAATAAATCTCTTTAGGGTGAACTTTCTCTTTACTTAGAATGTATACAGAGTTGCTACATAAATCATTCATTTGAAGGAGCATATACCACCAAATGAAGAAACTGAAATAAATAGAAGAAACTGATCAAGTTTCATCATCATTCTTAAAACCAGGGAACCTTTGTTCCAATTACTGCAATGAGTTGTCCTAATCATTAGGTAAAGGAAAGGAAAAGGTCCAAGAAAAGAAAAACATAATAATAGAATAACAACTTAAATGTAGATAAACTAACCAAATTAACAGGAAATAAATGAGAAAACAAAATCATTAGCTTTTTATATTACTAATTTGCCAACCAGTGTATTTTGTAAAATCTATTTTAAATCAGTCATATAATTTTAAATTGAACTGCAAAGGAAAAAAATAAAATCTAGAATCTGTTTTGAATAAAAATAAATATTTCATTTCAGTAACAACTGTTTCATTTTTTTAAATCTCAAAAGTAATTAAATATAACATTTGAACGGTGTTGTATTTATATAATATACACACTTCCCTTAAAATAACACTTTACTTAGTAGCAAAAACTAAATACTTTTAAAAACTAAGAATATATGAATTTGAAGATCACAAATGTTTTCATCAAATTTCAATTTACTGTACACTTAAAAAAACCTTACCAATAATAATTCTCTGTTACATCTACAAATTACCATAAATGGACAGATTTCTCAGGATTTCAGGTTGAGGGGAAAAAAGACTAATTCAGTATTCTGAAAGGTGATGCCTACAATATATTTGTCCATTATTTACTCCTTCTAACCCTAGAGAGCAAAAATTATTCTGAACTCAAGTAGGTCACTGTATGAAAGAGCGCATTTGCAGATGGATTGGCCAATCTGTGAATTAGTAGATTAAATTTACTATGTGTAGAGAAAAATCTTAAGAAATCAGTTTTATCTCATTTTTTAAAAAAAGCCCCTTGAATCTGAGAACAAATTTAAAATTTATAGTAACTGATCTTGAAATCAAGAGAACACTTCATTACTCAAATAATTTTAACAATAAAAAAAAGTAGAGTTTAAAGTTCAAACTTTTCTACTGGGGGAAAGCCCAAATTCTACAGTCTGTATTTCATCTAGCGCTCATGCTATTCACAAAGTCTATGCCATGTGACTACTTCGTGATATTTTTCATTAATAATCCCCTTGGATGAAGTCCATTTTAGGCTGACTTTAAAGAAAACTGTTATACAGGGATACTCATGTTTATACAACATGACAAATTTAAGAAATCTAGCATATTTCATCTTCTAGTACATCATTCAACATAATTCACCTTTACTAGGATGTATTTATTTACATATATACATTATATGAGAATCATACTTACCAACAGGACTAGAGAAAATAAAGCACAGAGGGTATGAAACTCTTCCATCATCATGTTGATATTTATAACTATATACAATGAAGGTTTTTCTTAAGTTAAGGAAATGTGAAAAAACTATTTTAGTACTTGAATAAGAATCTTTTTAAAAAGAACACTAGATTAGAAAAATTGGATTACTCTTCAATCAGTTTAAACTAGGCCCCTACCTACCTCATTTTACATTCTTCCATGATATTATACAATAGTAACGATATAAACGGAATATTATGAAATAAAATAAAACACAATAGAAATGTACAACAGATTTTTTAAAAACAGAACAAGTTTTATATATGTGTGTATGTATAAAATAATTTTTTTGCTCTCTGAGGAAAATAAAATAATTTTAAAAAGCAGAAAAATAAAAAGGATATCGAGGTTGTCGTTCAGGCAGTTCATCTTTAAGCTCATCAGGTGAAATGCCCTGGCAATTTAACAAAAAGCAATGTTCAAGAATGTTCTTGGACAAAAGTAATTAGCAGAATAAAATGCAACAGTATTACTGTATAATTATAGACTTACAACCTTCATGAGTAAAGTAAAACTTGACTAAATTGAACATCTACAACAGAACTAATAATTTCTAGGTTAGTAAAGAAATCTATTCTAACCTCACCTATTCCATTCTAACCAACATCTATTTTTTTTTTTGATGAGGCAATTGGAGTCAAGTGACTTGCCTAGAGTCACACAGCTAGTGAGTGTTATGTGTCTGAGGCCATATTTGAACTCAGGTCCTCCTGATTCCAGGGCCACTGCTCTATCCATTGTGCCACCAGCTGCCCCCAACATCTATTCTAACCTCAACTATGCTGACTAAATGACAGGCTGATATAAACGGAAAATTAAACTGTGCTAGGTCTTCAACTGCAAGGACCCCACTGCTGAGTGAATGAATGAGCATTCTTTCTTCTCCAAATAAGTTTAATTTGTTTCTTCTGGAGTTAAAAAATAAAGTTAATTTATTTTCACTTCACTAAGTTAATTTTTTTTTAAGCCAAATCACACTGAAGCTTTAATTCATCTGCTAAACTAAGTTCATAAAAGAGTAATGAAGTTTGGCCTTGGAGACAAGAAGACCAAATTGAGTTTTTAATCTGGCACCTGACAAATTCTATCTTTGTAACCTTGTCACTTAACCTGAGTGCTCTAGGCAAGTCTCCAAGAGTCTAAGTTGCCAAGTAGATGGTGACTTGAATTGGTAGAGGGTTTCCTACACCAACAAAATCCCAGGCACAATCCCTTTCTGTAACTTGTAGAAAGTCAATTTATATTGGCTGAGCAGCAGTTCAGCAAAAACTTATCTTAGGGGCTTGTCACACCTCATTTGATAAAAAGAATTCTTCCATGATTATGTTTATTAGATGGGATTTCCTTATCACTTAAAATAAGATAATTAACTTTACTTAGCAAGATAATATAATTATTAAGATTTTTTTCATTTAGTGACCACACATTTGAAAGAGATAACTAAACTTTACATGGGAAAGCAAAGATAGCATTTTTCATGTGATAACATGATTGAACTATAATGAAAGATTATCTTTAGTTGATTTGACAAACCTCAAGTTCTTCATCCAGGACTACCAGACGTTTATCCTTGTCAATCTTCACTATAATAAAAACACAGTATATGTGAATTTGTGCACATCTAATGTGAATTTAATTTTCCCATCCCTTGGACTTATTTCTTTAGCATCTAAAATGGAAACTGACCAAGAAACACATGAGTCAAACTCACTGATGACTTATTAGCCTAATATTTGTTCTTTGGGATAATTATATTTTTATTTAGTCAACTCTTGAAAGCAGGATTCTCACAGATGATCAAGTTAGTTGACAGTACCTGTAGTAGGTCTATTTTATGAAGCAGCAGTACTTAATTTACTTATTTAGAATATTGCTGTCTCAGTTACCTCTATATATTTTACAAAGAAGTCTTTTAAAATCCAAATACTTAATTTCCTACCCTAATCCTGGGAAGATCTGAAAAGGGCCAAGCTTTGCACCAGTCAGAATGATCTATACCCAGCATGGAATGAATGAGCCGTAGACAAAAGTTGACCAATACAGAAAGAAAATTGGACAATATGAGAAAAAGGATGGCTTACTAGGTCTTCCTGAGTCAGGACATTAATGCCACGTCTTTTTTTTTTTTCTGGCAAGGCAAATGGGGTTAAGTGACTTGCCCAGAGTCGCACAGCTAGTAAGTGTTATGTGTCTGAGGCCACATTTGAACTCAAGTCCTCCTGACTCCAGGGCCGGTGTTCTATCCACTGTGCCACCTAGCTGCCCCTTAATGCCACCTCTTTATTTTACTTGAAGTGAATTTCCCCAAGCATTAGATATCTACATTCAAATACTGGGACAAACATACATTCCAAAGTCAAACACATATGATTTTTTAAATATCCTGTTCATCTCCTTTGGTGCAAGCAAGTATTTTCTTAAGTTAAAGAAATGGGGGGAGGGGGGAAGCTACTATTTTATTTGAGCAAGTGACATTATGTTATGCCTTTATTTTATCTGAAGTAAATTCCCTCTGTGAATTGCTTGCTAATATTTTAGCAAACCTTCAAACACATATTTTTGATCAAAAAGATTCTGTCTTGGGGTAAAAACTGAATTCACTATAGCAATAAAACATGCAGTTTCATTTTTCACAACTATGTGCTTAGATTGGTTTTAATTTGTAGCTTAAGTACAGTTGCAAAGATATCACTATTAATTTGCTTTAGTTTGCCACATGCATTTTAGTTAAGAAGCACAGACTACAGAATTTACATTCCCCTCCCTCCTCGACTACACCTTTCTCATCATTACCAAATACTACAATTTCAGACTCTCATATTGCCCATGAAGAAGAGTTTTGAAAGTCAAATTCATTGTTTATGAGAAATGGGGGAGGCAAGACACAAAACTACTCTTCTCATCTTTTGCTAGATTTAGGAAAAAGTGAAATTTGTTCTTAAATAGTAGCTTACTACTTCCGAAAAAAGTGGACATGTTGAATACTTAAAGAGCTCCTGAATATTACTATATCTAAATAAAGCTAGACCACATCTCCTTTACCCTAAAAGAAAAAATAATCATTTAAAAGTATTTGAGATAGGCATATATTTTTAATATTATGACATTTAAACCTAAAATAGAAGGGCAGCCAAAAGTCACTTGGAACTAACAAACTAGTTCTTAACTAGGAGCTGCCACAATTGTGGGGTATCTTTCTTCCCCTGTTTTGTGACTTTTAGCTGTTGTTTCTGTGTGAAAAGTAAAATTAAAAGAAAAAATTGGGAAGGGAAATTACTTTAGAAAAAATTGTTACATGAGCTGTGGCTTTTAGTGAAGGATTAAACAAGTATAAGACTATAACTTTGCTGACGATAGTTGAGCTTACTTATAATAGCAGCATTGTTAGTTTCTTTGCGAAAACGAAACTTTCTCAGTTTCTCCACTAGATCTTCAGCAACATCACAAACCACCAGAGATTCACTCTGGGAAAAAAAACACACACACACACACAAATGAAATAGTTTCAATATGTAATTTTTTAAAAAATCATACATGTAAATAAGCAATTTATACATGGCTAGATATTAGCAGTAAATGAATATAAATGCCAAATATACATAAATGAAATCATTGAAGAGTAGTTTTTACCTGTTAATAATTTAAACTCTTTTACTAACTTGTCCATGCAAACTTTTTTCTCCTACCTGATATGGTAAACTACATGAAGATGGATGGGATTATTTAATTCTCCTTGCCCTGATCAAGACAGATGCTATATGTTGGATATTTTCCATAGGGAGGAAAAATTCCATAAACATAAGACTATACAACTTCTTTAGAAAGCTTCCCTACAGCAAAAGGGGAAGGTCAAGGGTTAAGGGAGGTGGCAATATTTGGGAGAAAAAGTACATTTCAGAATATGTACAAAAGCACAGAATATGTAGGCACAAAAATTATTTCTAGCTATAATTAGCATCAGTAATGTCTTTGTTCAGATTTGGATACACAACGGAGGTATGGAGAAGAATTCCAAAATGGTCTATGAAAAGAATAATGACTCTTTATTGAAAGTCTGGATAACAGATTACATTAGAGAAAATTAAAGAAACTTAACATAGCTTGAAGATGGGAAAAAGTTAGGAGCTATTACAAGTTCACAGATTTAAGAGTTGGAAGTGAACTTTGGAAATGAGTCTAACTCCCTGGTTTTGCAGAGGAGGAAACTGAGACTCAGAGAAATTAAGTGATTCGTACAAGGTCACCCAAATAGTAAAGAGCAGAGCCAGGATCAGAATCCAGGTCCTCTTAAGTCCAAAGCTAGCGCTCTGGATTTTCAATGTACCAGAATACCTATTAGATATTATGAACTACTCAGTGCAATGAAGGAAAAAAAGGGGAAAGAGTATTAAAATTACAATTAAAGGGATTTAATTAGATATTATAAAGAATTTACTTCATGACTATAATTACAGCAAGAATAATTATCAAGGAAGGTCATGGAATTTTCTTCAGAGATTTTTGAGGAAGTAGTTAACAGCTATTATGCTAGAGTAGTTGAAAAGCAAATCTCCAGCTTTATGACAGAACTAGTAAAGGGAAATATTTTTAAACTATTAGGAAAACTAACTTATTCTAGATTAAAGGGACATATGTATTTCCTTTTGGTTCTCCTCAAGATGCTTCATGACTCCCAAAGGCTCTACCAGTGGAACGTAAGCTCTAGCTAGCTCTACCATGCTGGAAAGTCTCCACTTCTGGTCTTAGTAACAGACTAGATAAGTACGGATGGGTTAATTACCAGTAGACCAACCAGTCATTAGATGATGAATTCTATGGCTGTGGCAATTCATGTAACAAAATTACAAATGGCTTGGTCCTATATGGCAATAACAGTACTTCTAATAGCACCTAATGTTTGCAAAGCACTTTACAAGTATTATCTAATTTTATCCTCATCACAACCATGTAAGTGTTATTATTATCTTTATTTTACAGATGAAGGAACTGAAGTAGACAAAAGTTATGTGACCTTCCCAAGGTCACACAGTATGTGTCTTATGGCTGGATTTAAACTTAGGTCTTCCTGACTGCTACCTATTCACGTCCTTCCTGAGGTTATAGGGACAAAGTTAAGAAAAGGAGGCAGAGAGTGCTAACTAGTTTTTAGACTATCTGTAAATATTAATTTAACTGCTGGTACTATAAATATGATATCCTTGTCTAGGGACCAATTAGCTAACTTACTACTGGAGGAAATGAATCATCATAAGAATATTAATACTCTCACTATAAATGAAACTGGAAGATAAAAGGAAGTTGCAGCTATATGAAAAGTTGAATCAGGTTCCTCAGGAAGACAAATAATGAAGTTTGTTTTATTTTGCATCCAAAAGAAAAAAAGAAACATTATTTCAAAGAACAGTTGGGCATCTTGTATTGTGGTATATTTGCAAAAAGACCACCAAAAATCCCCAAAACCCAAACCCACTGTAGTTTTGTGTGCCAAATTCTAATGAAGATAAAGAAGTAGTCTAAAAGGAATCCACTAAAAGCTTCCAAATTAAATTGAAATATACTTTAATACTTGCTAACTTCAATGCAAAGGCAGGTATGAAAAAAAATCAAAATAAATAAAAAATGGAAAATGTGATTCACTATTAAGAAATGTACACAAGCATCTTACATGTGCACATAATGAATGCTCTTTTAAAGGAGAGACTCAAAACATAACAAACACCAAATAACATCACAAAAAATGAAATTAAATCACAAAAAACCATTAGTTACAAATGTAGGAATCATTTTTGAATCAGCCATGTGCTGCATGACTTGTTAGAATGAAGATTAAAATCATTACCAAAATTAGAAGACATTGTTACAATTAAAATAGCTCTAACCTGCCATATTTATACAAGTTAACATATGGTGAAAAATGGGAAATGGATAAAAGACAGACACTGACACTGACTTTTTCCTAAGGAAATGATAAACCAATTACTACAATGAAGTGGCCAAGAGAGTCTAAAAACTACCTCAGCAAAAAAATACTGATTGCTTTGCCAAGGGGAAAGATACTGCAGTCAAAGGCAATTCTGCTTTAGATTATAAACTACTAAAAAAAATCCTTCATAGAAGGATGGTGAAACACTACATATAGTATCATTCTATAAAATTAGTGGTGAAGAGAGAAAAAATAAGTCTTCAGAAAATGTGATGAGATATCCCATTAAGACTAGTCATCCTGTGAAATTAAGAATGAAATTGTAAGAATTACTCTCCCCCCCAAAAAAGAAAAAAATTGAAAAGATTTCTATAACAAAATTTTTTTCTCCATCTAGGACATGGATGGCCCTACAGTCGCCATATTTGGATTGTCATAGTTTCTACTGTGCTATAAGTGGAACAGAAATAGTTCCAAGAAAAATAAAGTAAGAGCAGCTGGACTAGACCAAGTATAAAAGAGGAGATTTGTGAAGGACGTGACACAATTTTGAGGGCATCAAAGGATCAGTTGTTGAGCTATCTGAATGGTGGGATGACACTAGCTACATGGATAAAATTACAGGTAATTATTACCTTTTTTTTTTTTTTAAACAAAATCAATCAGAAAATGTCAGTAGTTATCAGCTCATGTGCCTACCATTCTACCTTTAGAAAATATTTAGAATAATCTATGCCTACCCAGAGTATCTTTGAGGAAGGTATGAAAAAAGAGCTAGGCCTTCCCAAATAATATTCTACAACAGATCTAACCTTTAATCATGTAACTTACTGAAAGATGCCGAGAATACATAACTACATTGTACTTATTTTTTGCTGACCACAAGCAATGATCTGACTTGATAAAGCAAAATGCCTTAAAAACTTTAGAAAATCTAAAGGGACTCCTATGAAGGTACTAAAACCAAAAAAGAGTCCTTGAAAAATGCAAGAGGTAACTTTGTTTGAATACCCTGATTATGAATATCAAGTATGATATAAAAGCTATTCTCACGAAAGATGTTTTTATGGAAGATATTCTGTATAGATTTCAAATGAGAGATTACCTACAGATCACAGAATCATAAATGACAGAATTTCAAAGTAAAAAGGCACCCCAGAGGCCAACCAACTCAACATATACCTAGAAAAAAGATGATAAGGTCCTTGATATACTCTTCTTTGCAGATCAAACTGTAATGAGTATAAGAAGAACTGGAACACTGCCAAGTGTCCTAAATATGATTCATAATCACTCTAAAGAGTTTGGATTAAATCTTACACCACATACCAAAATAAAGTCAAAATGGGTTCATGATTTAGATATAAAGGCTGATACTATAAGCAAACTGGGAGAGCAAGGAATAGTTTACCTATCAGGTTTATGGAGAATAGAAGAATTCATGACTAAAAAGGAGATAGAGAACATTATGAAATGCAAAATGGAAAAATTATCCAAAATTATTACTAATCAAAATTAGATTAAATTGAAAAGTTTTTGTACAAACAAAGCCAATGCAACCAAGATTAGAAGGGAAGCAGAAAACTGGGAAAGATTTCTTACAGCTAGTATCTCTGATAAGTGCCTCGTTTCTAAAACATATAGAGTACTAAAGCAAATTTATAAGAATACAAGTCATTCCCCAATTGATAAATGGTCAAAGGATATGAACAGTTTTCAGATGAAGAAATTAAAGCCATCTATAGTCATATGAAAAAATGCTCTAAATCACTATTGATTACAGAAATGCAAATCAAAACAACTCTGAGGTACCACATCACACCTATCTGATTGGCCAACATGGCAAAACAGGAAAATGATAAATGTTGGGAGATGTGGGAAAATTGGAACACTAATGCATTACTGATGGAGTTGTGAAATGATGCAACCATTTTAGAGAGCAATTTGGAACTATGCCTAAAGGGCTATAAAAATGTGCATACCCTTTGACCCAGCAATAGCACTTCTAGGGCTGTATCCCAAAGAGACCATACAAATAGGAAAAGGACCCACATGTACAAAAATATTTACAGCAGCTCTTTCTGTGGTGGCAAAGAATTGGAAACTGAGGGGATGCCCATCAACTGGGAAATGGCTGAACAAGTTGTGGCATATAAATGTAATGGAACACTATTATGCTATAAGAAATGATGAGAAGGCAGACTTCAGAAAAACCTGGAAAGCCCTGTATGGACTGATGCTGAGTGAAGAGAGCAGAACCAGAATGGTGTACATAGTAACAGCCACACTGTATGACAACTGACTTTGACAGACTTAGCTCTTGCCAGCAATGCAAGGATCTATGACATCTCCAAAAGTCTCATGAGGGAAAATGCTATCCACATCCAGAGGAAGAACTGTAAAGTTTGAATGCAGATTGAAGCATATTATTTGCTCATTTTTTGTTCTTCCATTTTGTTTTGTTTCCTCTTTCTTGTGGTTCCTCCTATTGGTCTAATTCTTCCTTACAACACGATTAATGTGAAAATGTTTAATAGAAATGTGTATGTAGAGCCTATATCAGATTGCATGCTGTCTTGGGGAGGAAGGGGGAGAAAAATTTAAAACTCAAAAGCTTATGGAAGTGATTGCTGATAAATCAAAATAAATTAATAAAAAAGAAAAAGAAAACACTATATTACACAAGAGAAAAAATCTTTTGCCCACATTGAAATATTTTATTAATATAATAGTTTATAAGATAAATGTGATTGAATATGCTTCATTATTTTTTAAAACCTTGGCTTAACACTTTGTGACACAGAGATTTGGTCTGATTCTAAGTTGTTTATTTCAATAACTGGTTTTAATCACTGTTGTGGCTGAAAAAGATAGCTCATGTAGCTCTACAATGAAGAGGTGCATTATTATCTGTGCTGATTAAACACATTTTTCAAATTATCTTTTTGCCAATTTCATTTATTGTGAGGGCCAACTTGTGGCTAACAATCCCATGTGTCTGAAAAAGATATTACTAGGAGTAACCATTTTCTTGATCACGTATATGCATTATTAGTAGCATCTTCGATCTGAGGTTTCTTTCTAGGAATCTTTCTTTTTTTTGTTGTTCTTTGTAAATCTGTCTTGCCCTGGAGATTTTTTTCTAGGAAGTTCATCAATGGCTTGTTTAATTTCTTTTTCTGAGATGGGATTATTTAAGTATTTTATTTCCTCTTCTGTTAATCTGGGCAATTTATATTTTTATAAATATTTATCCATTTCACTAAGATTGTCAAATACGTTGGCATACAGTTGGGCAAAATAGTTCTTAATTATTGTTTTAATTTCCTCTTCGTTGGTGGTATATTCACCCTTTTCATTTTTGATACCGGTAATTTAGTTTTCTTCTTTCTTTTTTTAAATTAAATTAACCAAAAAAGAAAAATGAACAAAAAAAAATTAAATTAACCAAAGGTTTATCTATTTTATTGGTTTTTTTCATAAAACCAGCTCTTAGCTTTATTTATTAGTTCAGTAGTTTTCTTAAATTTCAATTTCATTAATTTCTCCTTTGGTTTTCAGTATTTGTAATTTGGTGTTTGAGGATTTTTAATTTATTCTTTTTCTGGTTTTTTTTGTTGTATGCCCAATTCATTGATCGTCTTTCCTACTTTATTCATGTAAGCATTTAGAGATATAAAACTTCCCTTAAGAACTGCTTTAGCTGCATCCCATAAGTTTTGGTATGTTGTCTCACTATTATCATTCTCTTGAATGAAGTTATTGATTGTTTCTATGATTTGTTGTTTGACCCAATCGTTTTTGAGGATTAGATTATTTAGTCTCCAATTTTTTTTAGTCTATCTTTCCATGACCCTTTATTACATATAATTTTTATTGTATCATGATCTGAAAAGGATGCATTTAATATTTCTGCCTTTCTGCACTGGACTGTGAGGTTTTTGTGCCCTGGTACACGGTTAATTTTTGTGTATGTGCCATGTGCTGCTGAGAAAAAGTATATTCCTTTTTATCTCCATTCAATTTTCTACACAAGTCTATCATACCTAACTTTTCTAATATTCTATTCACCTCCGTAACCTCTTTGTTGTTTATTTTGTGCTTAGATTTATCTAGTTCAGAGAGGGGGAAGTTGAGGCCCCCACTTGTAAATTTTTGCTGTCTATTTCTTCCTGTAACTCCCTGAACTTCTCCTCTAAGAATCTGGATGCTATACCACTTGGTACATATACGGTTAGTAATGACATTACTTCATTGCCTATGGTGCCTTTTAGCAGGATGTAGTTTCCTTCCTTATCTCTTTTGATAAGATCTATTTTTGCTTTTGCTTTGTCTGAGATCAGGATTGCCACCCCTGTTTTTTTTTTACTTCAGCTGAAGCATAATATATTCTACTCCAGCCTTTTACCTTTACCCTGTGTATGTCCCTCTGTTTCAAATGTGTTTCCTGTAAGCAACACATTATAGGATTATGGTTTTTAATCCATTTTGCTATTTGCTTCCATTTTATGGGAGAGGTCATTCCATTCACATTCACAGTTATGATTACTATCTGTGTCTTTCTCTCCACCCTATTTCCCCCATTTATGCTTTTCTTTTTCTTTTTTCCCCTTCCCTCCTCACTAGTATTTTGCTTTTGACCACTGCCTCTCTGAGTGCCCTCCCTTTTCTTCCCCTTTACCCTTACTACTTCTTCCCTCCCTTTTGTCCTCCCTCTTTTTTCTTTCCCCCTTTCCCTCCTACTGCTATAGGGCAAGTGAGATTTCTATACCTAACTGATTATGTTATTTCCTTCTAGAACCAAATCTGATGAGAGTAAGGTTCAAACAATGCTCATTTCCCTCCCTTTTTTTCCTCTACTGTAATAGATTTTTGTGCCTTTTCCTGTAATGTAATTTACCCTTGTCTGCCTCCTTCTTTCCTTTTCTCTCAGTACATTTTCTTAGTTAGATCAGATTAATCCACTTACTTGGATCCATTTAACCCACTGCAGAAATCTTTTAAACCACACGTTTGTTTTATATGGGTTAGGTAAAACTATGTAATTCTTAAATTCACTTAATTGAGCACATATATGTTGACAGCAAATAAGCAAAGACACCACTGTCAACCCGTCTGTGTTATGTAACTGCCATTTTACCCTCAATTTCTCCCTGAGACTCCCCTCTTTTTTAATACCAATTGTCTTCCGAGGATGATATATAGCTAGGAGTTATGGAATACTACAGTCTCTAAAGAATTAAAGTTAAACATACTACTAGTGGGTGAATAGCTCAAGAAGTCAAGACAAAAGGAAATAACGGAGCAAAAAAACTGAAAATGAAGTGAGTATCCATTAATTGGGAAATGAATGGCTGAACAAATTGTATTACAAGAATATTTTTTAACATTGTACTAGAAGAAATGGCAAATGAACTGATACAGAATAAACTAAGCAAACTAAGAGAATATACACAACCATAATAATGTTAAGAAATATAACATTAAAAGACATCAGAATTCAGATCAATGAAATGATCAATCTTGAATCTAGAGAGTGGAAAATGAGTATCTCTCTCCTTTCTGTAATAGTCTACAGATGTGGCATAATCTAAGAGACATAATGACATTATGTCAGTTTCACTACCTCTTGGTTACAAGGGAAAGCCATTATTAGGAAATGACAGATTCGTGCATGTGTTTATATACACACATGTATACACATTCTGAAGCACTAATAAAATATATTTTAAAAGTCACAGGTCATCCACAGGGCAGTGATACACATGGTGGATATAAAATAGCAGTATATATCATTAAATAGATAAATGACCAGAAAATGTGGTGAGCAAGTCATGTGGAAAGAACAAAGACCAAGAGATGGGTAGTACGATTACTTCATAGATAACCTAGGTATTGTCAAGAAATCCAGAAGGCAACCTGGAATGTTGGTTGGGTCCTCTGGAAGACTTATGTTAGAACATGGATAAAAAACACAAAATGAGTATGTGAGGTTGTGTGATTTGTACCACTAGAGAAAGTAACCATGTGGATGAAATAATTTATTTGTTGAAGTACTAAAGAATTATCCCTAAAGTTTATTATTTTTTCTACAACAGTTTCAGACATCATCATGTCTTTATTTCAAATCCAAACCTATAACTCTCTCAACTTTCAAAAAAAGAACTCTTAATATGCACTCCCCATAAAGAAACCTGGATTGTGCTCTAAAACTGAGTTGACGGATGAATTAAAATGTTTTAAAGGCTACAAATATTAGCCAAATAAAGGAATCATACACTCTGATCTTTGGAAGCCAACAGTTTTATGTCCATTATGTGTGCTCATAAAAGAAACCTAAAGGAACTTAATCATTAACATAATTAGCCGGATCAATTTAAATCTAGAGGTAGAAGGGACATTGAAGGTCATGCAATCCACTGCCCTCATTTTACAGAAGAAGAAACTAATGTCCAGGGAGGGTAAGTGCCTTGTACCAGTCACACAAATAATAAGTATGCTCTGAACGTAGGTCCTGTGACTCAGAATCAGTACTTTTCCCACTACTTTTCTAAAATCTGAAGTAAAATGTTCAATTATTTTAATATGCTTAACCTACACCCTTAATAATTTCCAAAATAAAACATTACTTCTTAACTTAGCCTCCAAACAATGCACTGAGCACTAATAATTATATTTAAAAAATGCCACTATAAAAAAGTGAATTAAAGTTTACTTTCATATTTGTGATGTACAAACTCATCTCAACCTGTTTAGTTCAGTAATTTTCAACAGGCTTTACAAAATACTTGTGAAATTCTACTTCACCATCTAAAATGGCTTAGTAGTTATTTGCCAAAGTACCTAAAAAACCAAATTTCTTAGAACTATTTGTAGGTAATTGCCCATTAAAAAAATTAAAAGATATTTTTAGTAGGACCTTGTGACAGAATCACTCTCTACAAGGGTCACTGCCTACCTAGCCACATGGCTTAGAGGCTAGCTTTTCTATGAAAGGTGACAAGGCTGTCCCTAGGCCTTGCTTGGCCCAGGCGGCTAAGGCTGAAGTGTGCCTTCAATGATAGTTTTCTGTTCACCTAAAGGCATAAAAAAACGCTCACCTATGTAGGGTCAGGACTCAATGGACTTGGTGGATGTTCCCAAACTGCATGTTTCCGTACTGGGAGTGTGGTGGTATGGTGGAGAGGGTTGTGTCTACCCAAATTAAGTTTCTAGAATATCCTTGTTGAATATCCTTCCTATTAATGATGGCAAAGTAACCTCATTTTGTTCACTGCTGAATGACGACCTATGACTGCCTAATTTCATTTCAACATCAAACCTAAACCAACAAGGTACTGGCCTATTTCAGCACTACCCCTAGCAGAACTGTTGCCTGCTTGCTGTGTGTTATCGTGTACCCTATACATATTTAATCAGTTATACAAATAAATATAAAATGTACCTCCCATCAAGTGTTGTCACTACTGAAGACTCCAAATGAATAGCAATAATATAAAAAAATTGAGAAGAGATAGGAAAGCATATTAGAAAAAGGTATAAGGAAAAAGGTAGGAGGTAATAATTCAATTTGAAAAACCAAAAATACTATTAAGAAATGGGCTAGAATAAATAACACAGAATTTAGTGATTTTAAAATTTTGGCCTATGTACTTTGTGGGAGTTACTAAATTAGTTCTTCAAACCTGCCAGTATTGTTGCTTAATTTTAGTTTTAACACTTTTTTTGGGGGGGGTCAACTTGTGATTTTACTATCAGGGAACTTTTGGTGAGGAAACCCCCTCTATTAATGTAAACTCAATTGTTCTACAACTTACTGTCTTACAAAGTTAAAGTTAAATGACTTGCCTAGGGTTACACAGGCAGCATATGTTGTATGTGTTAGAGGCTTGAAATCAGGTCTCCCTGTTCAGCAGGTACTCTAACAGATCAACTTTCCCATTACTTCTGTCAGGGGTATGACAAGCTGTTCCCCTATGGTCTCACTCATCTTCCCAGTAACTTTCAGGACCAAGATGCCCCTTTCTATACATAATTCATCCTCAATTCATGTTGCCTCCCCCATTACAATGTAAACTCCTCATGAGCAGAGGAAATCTTTGCTTCTGCATTTTTATCCTCAGTGCTTAGCAGATAGTAAGTGTTTAATAAATTCTTTTTCACTCGTATTTTGCCTCTCAGTCATGCAGATATTTCTATGTTTATACAAGCATGTTTTATTTTTTAAGGTGCTTCTCAATATTGCTATGCCTGTTTAAAAAAATTTTTTTTAATCTATATATTCTCCAAGCAGCTGAACAGGCTTTAATGATTTTAAAATAGCACCTACCTCTCAGGATTGTTGTGAGGATCAAATGAGATAAATATTTGTAAAGCACTTAGCATCTGGAACATACTAGGCGCTATATAATGTTAGCTATTATTTGAACCCATACTCCATCCTTTATTTTGTCAGTGGCAGATCCAGGCTCCACTGCCCACCCGAATCCTTATCTTCACCTCCAGTGTTAAACAAAAATATAAAAGTAATAACTTTTGGCATTTAAGGTTAAGTTATCCTATCAATTTAGCATATTTATAAGGTGATATACCAACTATACCAACTACCAGCACTAAAGAATCAATACTTCCCATTCAATGGGTATTATGTATCATTTAAGAGGCTAGGTAACTCTATTTTGCTCCTGTGATGAAGCAAAGAGATCTTGAAGAAGTCATTTGTCAATTCCTGAAACTTATACTGACTCATTTTCTACTCTCTCCCAACTTTATTTCCTTTTCTTTCACAGACACTCTGTGTTGGGGGTGGTGGAGTGATGGGAGTGGGAGGAGTCAGTTTGAAAACTAGAGATTAAGTCATTCATTATGTCTTCTTCCCTGAGATGGTAATCATTATTACAATTTTAATAACAAACTCAATGGAGAGTGGTTGAATTAAAATTAAACTACTATATCTGGGCTAAAATAACTGTAGAGATTATCACCTTTCAAAACTAGATTGGGCAACAATAGGTACTCAAGGAAAACCAAGAATAACGTTTTAATTGCTCTTCTTCATAGTTAAAAAGACAACAATGTGATTTAATTTGTATGCCTCCCTTTCTAATCTTCTTCTCCCTTCTAAATGGCATAAGGGAATTATACTAAGCTGTAGTTAGAGAGAGATAGGGCCTGGCTCTGTAGTTTTACTGGCTCTGGGGTCAACTTTCAAATTAGTGAACTACTACTGTCTCTAAGTGTAAAATAAAAACATTTAAATATCTAGTGTGTAAAGATTTGGAGGGTGAGGTGTGATTAAAAAAAAAGCATTGGCTCCAGAGTTGGAGAAGCCTGTTTAAAATCCCACTTCTCCCCTTACTACCTGTGGTGTTGTTCATTTGTGGGGACTCTTCCTGACCCTATTTGGAGTTTTCTTGGTAAAGATACTGAAGTGCTTTGCCATTTCCTTCTCCAGCTCATTTAATAGACGAAGAAACGGAGGTAAACAGAGTTAAGTAACTTGCCCAGGGTTACACAGCTACTAATGTCTGAGACCAGATCTGAACTCAGGTCTTCCTGATTCCAGGCCCAGCGCTCTATCCATTGCCTCACCTAGCTGCCCTACCAGAGTAACCTCAAGCAAATCAGTTAAAATCCCTGGGCCTTAGTGGCATCAACTGTAAAAGAAGGGGATTCGACTAGATAGCCTCTGAGATCCCTTTCAGCTGCCACCTGTGTCTCAACTGCCCATCTTAAGCATGAAGTCTAAAACAGGCAGCTAGGTCACTGGGGCAGTAGACAAAGAACTGTTTGCCATTCAGGCCTGAGTTTAAATCCGGCCTGAGACACTAGTAGTATTACCCTAGGCAAGTCACTTAACCTGTGCCTCAGTTTCCTCATCTGCAGAATGGGGCTAAACATGGCTGTTACGAGGATAAAAATAAGAAAATATTGGTAAAGTGCTTTAATGCTACAGAAATACTAGCTCCTAATACAATTACTCTTTTCAAAATTTCTACCATGACCTCCGTACCCGAAAGAAAACGAGTCAAGCGGAATCAAGGCAATTTCCCGGATAATCTGAACCAAACTATGCAGATAATCAAGACCAGCGTGGCACGTGGGCTTGAGCTGTCAAGAGAATGCCTCAGGCTTAAGGAACACGAGGCCGAAGCCACCAGAACCCAAGAAGCAGTTTTTGCCACCACTTCGGGCGCCTCCTTTTCTCAGATGATGAAAGAGCGGCTCCCGGCCGGTACCTAAGGACCGGAGAAATCGGGGAGGGGTGTGGGGGTGGCCCCGCGGGGGAAGGCGGGGCTGCGATGAGCCCAAGAACCAGAGCACCGAACCTCGCCCCGGGGGCTCCGCGACACTGTCCCCGCCCCAGCCCCAGGGGCCTCTCGCCACCTCCACCCCAGGGAGGCGCCTGGGAGCCCACGACTCATCCGGGGCCGGGAAGACCGCAAGGTCTCGCTAGAGGCCACATCGCTCAGGAGCCGGGACGCTAAGACCTCGGGGCCCGCCCTTTCGCAAGGGCGAGGCTGCGGCAGCCGTTGGGCAAGGAGGAAAACGAGGCACACTGGAGCACAGCCAAGGCCTACCGAGGCCAGGAGGCCTCCCCCCACCCCCCACCCCCGCAGCCTCGGGGTAGCCCTACACCTCAGTCGGACCCCGCAGGGCTGAGAAAGCTCAATCCGGTCAGTCCAGTCCCCCGCCCACTCCCCCGCCTCCGCCTCCCAGGCGGCAACTCACCATTTTCCTTCCGGCCGGCCACCACCCCGGCGGAGCCTTCCCTACCGCCCTTTCAAGAATGGAATCACTACCGCCTTCCTTCCGGCAACTGGCGAGCCGCCCGATGCCCCATCCAATCAACCAACGGGAGCTGGGCGGAGCCAGCGGCGGAAGTGACGGTGTGCGGTACTGCTCAAAGTTCGCTGGTGCGCGATTTCTAAGCCGGTTGTGTTTTGTTTATTTTTTTGTTATCTAAAGCCGTTATCTCCAAACATTTTTTAAAAAATCCTGAGCATGCTCAATAGGAAATTTTGGGGACCGTCCCCCTCATCTGTTTGTATTTATAAACTATAAAGATGAAAGTATTTTGTAAAACTAGAGGCAACATGGCACAGGGGATGGGGAAGCCAGACTTGAAGTCAGAAAGACCTGAGGTCAAGTCCCAGCCCCGACGCTACTGACCCGGTGACCTTGGGCAACACACTTCACCTCTCTGTGGCCTAGGCGACTGGGAAGCCTGTAAATGACGGGAAAGGGGCCAACCTGCCCTCATAGAGGGCGATTTCCTCACCAGCGAGTTCTCCTGTAACAGTGAAATCATGGGGCCCGTCCTTGTCGCTGCTGGAGTAACGTTATAGAACTTTAAAAAAATAGAAATTTAAAAAAGAATTAGATAAGATGGAACATTAGATAAGAATGAAATATTTCTTGTAAAGACAGAGAAGAATGTCCTAATGAGAAGAAGGATAATCAAGAGAGTCTAGAAAGTAGAGAATTGGTGCAGCAAGCAGTGTGTTTTCAGGACTGTCCAAGCTTCAGAAAGAGAAACTGGACCAATATTCCTTTCAGGTAGAAGTGTGCTTCATTAGGTTCTGCTCTAGCCTTGATAGAGTGGCCCTCAAGGCAATTTTCTACTCTCTCTTCTGTTTCCACATTCACTAAGCAACCACCTGGTTACTGATTCATTTCATTAGGTACCTGGACACAAGACATGTGGTGCCTTGGTGAGTGGGACTGAATATTTGATTATTAGAAAAATTATTATTTTTCATTTTAAGTTAATAAATTTGCTTTGGATTTAAAAAAATGAAATATTTCATTTTGGAGTCAATGGGAAGCCACTGAAGTTTATGGAGGTAGGAAGAAATATCGTCAGGTCTGACCTTAAGGAAAATCACTTAGGATGCAGTAAAGTTGTGGGAGACTTGAGAAAGACCAGTCAAGTCTGTTGCAAGCAATATAAGCAAAGGATGATAAGGGCCTGAATTAAGGTGGGAACTCTGTGAGTAGAGGGAAGGAGTCTGAGTCAAGAGATGTTTTAGAGACAGTAAAAGTAAGATTTGACCAGTAACGGGATATAGCTGGTGGGGTAGAGTGGAGACTCAAAGATAACTTTGAATTTACAAATCTGGGAGCCTGGAAAGATGGTAGTTCCTTTGACAGAAATAGTGACATGTGGAAGACGGAAGGGTTTTGGGGAAAACAGAACGAGTTCAGTTTTAGACATATTGAGTTTGAGTGGGCACCAAGATATCTTATTTAAAATGTCCAATAGGCAATTGATGATGTGGGACCAAAGCTCAAGAGAGAGACAAGGATTAGATATATAGATCTGTAAGTCATCTGTAGAGAAATGTAGAGAAACCAATGGGAACTAACAATATTACTAAGAGTGCATAGAGAAAGAAGAGAAGAGGGTCTAGGACAGAACTTTTGATACAAGTATTAGGGGGTGGATGATGAGTTAGCAAAGGAGACTAAGATGAGATGATCAGACTGGTAGTAGAGGACCCAGGAGAGTCATGTTACAAAAACTCAGAGAAGAGAGTAGTATCTAGAATGAGAGGGTAGTCAACAGTATCAAATGAGGAAGATAGGGGGGTAAGTTTGAAGACTGCATTTAATTTGGCAATTAAGAATTTGTTGGTAACTTTTGAGAAAGCAGTTTCAGTTAAGATTGGAAGCCACATTACAAAGAGCTGAAAAATAAGTGAGAGGGAAAGAAATGGAAGAGGCAACTGTGGATAGCTTTTTCAAGAAAGGGGAGAAAATATGTAAAATAGCAGCTTAAGGAAATGATAGGGTCTATGATAGAGTTTTAAGAATAGAGAGACATGGACATGTTTTGTGAAAAATAATTTATTTTTATTTTTTAATTTTATTTTAGCCCCTGGCTAGTATTATTCAGTTGTTTGATTCCATAAAGACAGTAATTATTATTGTTGTATTTGTCTACAATTAATCTAGTAGGAATCCATTTGCTTAACCAATGTTTGATGAGTAAATGACCAAGTCCAGGGGGACTCAATGGCATGGAAACCCGTTCCCCACCCCCTGCTATTTTTGATTGTACCTCCACCCTCATTATTCCTTCAACTAGGGAAACAGCCCTTTGGCATTTGGCCAACAGGTGCTCTGAGTACTTGACCAATAGGTGACCCTATCTTCACATTGCAGGAGCTGCCTGAGAAATCCATTCCTCAATCTGTTGCCCAACATGGGGCCAATGAAAGACATCAGCTTTGCTCATATTCGTTAGATATCTTCTACCAGCTAATCTATGGCAATGCTGAGCTGAAGGTTCTCCTGAAAGTTCAAGATGTAGGTCTATCAAACAATGAGACTGTGTGTTTTACTTTGCCTCTTCTTGTATCATCTGGGTAGCAAGCACTACAAAACTAAGACTTTAAGGAAAGGGGACCTCTCAGATTATGAGGAAGATCTAAGATCCACTTCATTAGAGGGGGCCATGGACCCTTTAATAAAGTGCTATTGGCTCAGAACTCTGCCTCAGTTTCTTTTACTGTAGATTGGACAGGATTGGACCCCCGAAGTTTGAAGGCAGTGTAAAAGGATCCAGTAGATAAGGAGAGGTTGAAGAGTTGACAGAGGGGATAATTGAGGATATAATCTTTTGGGAAAGATAAGAGATAACAGGTTTAAGGACTTGGCAAAGAGAAGAGCTACCCATTTACCAGAGACTGAGAGAAAAGGATGATATCAAGGGGATTTGATGTGAAGAGAAGACTTCCAACTCACCTGACCAACAAGATAGAGAACTAGGCATTTTCTCTCATCTTTACAATCTCTGAAACCTCTCTGAAATAGGAATTATGTGCCAGAGATAAGAACAATTTCAGCTGTCTCATTTAGGACACCAATAACACAGATGAGGTAAAAACTTGATGAACTAACAGCACAGAAGGCCAGTATTCTCCAGTCCCTCAGCACTCCATTTCCCCCACTGCCCATCCCACTCAGTGGCAGGGCTGCACAAGCCAGCCCAGGCATTTGCAACAGAATTCAACTCTACATCCTGAATTCCCATTGCCTTGGAGACCCCAACTCCAAACAGCAGAAATTTTACTCAGGCTGCAATAACAGCATGGAAAGTGTTCCATGTTTGTGAGCCAGAGTTACTGAGATTGAGGGAACAGAGGCAAGACTCCTTTGTTGGGGTGGGGGAAGAGAGGTTCTGTGTGGTACTTCACTAAGCCAGAGAGAAGAGGCCCGGCATCCAGTTGGGGCCAGTTCTGTCACTCCCTCCACCCCGAAGGTCATTTCTGCAGAGTGGTGAATTGACCAGAAGGACAAGGAGAATGCTTTGAGATGTAACTGCCCTCTTCCCCACCCCCAAACAACCATCAAATGAGAGGGAGTCAGAAAGTGAGCAACAGAGGTGTGGAAATGGAATGAATGATGAGTTTACTCATCACCTTGATTTGCTTGAGCTCCATTATTATCCAGGAGAGGCTGAAATAACCTGGGAATTAGAATCAACCAATCAGGAATGAGGAATGCTTGAGTTTGACATACTAATGATCCTGTTATAGATGTATCCCCTGAGTGAACCCTGAACACCTCTGCTGTTCCAGCAACCACAGGGCCAGCTCAAACTAGTTCAAAACAGCCCCAAACAGATAGAACTTGCACAAAAATCCTGGTTCCAAGTACTCTGCACTCCTCCTATTCTCCTGCCTCTCTGTTGTAAAACCATATAAACCCATTTCCTAAACCCCCAATCTTCAGAGCAGCCAGACTAAGTTTACTCTTTCTGGAGCATGTGTGTGCTATACTCACCCAACAAATGCTTCCAGGTTTTGCACTTGAACTATGCCTTGTTTCCCTCTGTTCAGGTGGACGCTGTACCTCAATTAATTGTTCTGCCACAGTTAATCAGGGGAAAATAATGAAAAAAGGCAAAAATTACCAAGGATCTCAGGAGAGGTCTGTCATCTGGGTAAGGATTTCTACCTCCTGTTCTTCTTTATAAAAAAAAATTTCAATCTATTTTTTGTTGCATTTTAAGTTTTGAACTGTTTCCCTCCCTCCCTTCACACCTTGCACCAGAGAAGGCCATCATTTGATACAATAAGTATATGTAAAACCATATTATATATACTTCTGTTTATTAATTCTTTCTCTGCAGATTCCTTCATAGGTTCTTTCTAGTTGATTTGAGTATTTCTAATACTCAGAAAAACTTGGTTGTTCACAATTATTCTTCAAACAATATTGCTGTTACTATATGCGATGTTCTCTTGGTTCTGCTCATTTCACTTTTCATTATTTCATGCAAGTTTTTCCATGTTTTTCCAAAACCAACCAGCTCATCATTACTTACAGCACAGTAATATTCCTTTACAATTATATACCACAACTTGTTTAGCCATTCCCCAATTGATGGGCATCCACTCAATTTCCAGTTCTTTTCCTCCATGAAGAGAGCTGCTATAAATATTTTAGAACATATAGATTCTTTTCCTTTTTTTCTGATCACTTTGGGAAACAGACCTAATAGTAGTATTCTGGGTCAAAGGGTATACACAGTTTTATTACTTGTTGGGCATAATTCCAGATTGATTTCCAAAATGGTTGGATCAGTTCACAGTTCCACCAACAGTGTATTAATGTCCCAATTTTTCTATGTCCTCTCCAACATTTGTCATTTTCCCCTTCTATCATTTTAGCCAGTGTGATAGATGTGAGATGATATCTCAAAGTTGTTTTAGTTTGTGTTTCTCTTATAAATTTGACCAAGTTCTTTGTATATTTGAGAAACTGTCTATAAAATTTCCCCAAATTTCTGCTTTCCTTCTAATTTTGATACATTGCTTTTATTTGTACAAAATCTTTTCAATTTGATACAATCAGAATTATCCATTTTACATCTCACAATGTTCTCTTTCTCTTGTTTATTAAAAAAAAATTCTCTTATCCATAAGTCTGATAGGTAATATGCTCCATGTTCTTCTAATTTTCTAAGCTTTGTTTTAATCTTTATGTTTTCTTTCCATTTTTTTCCCCAAGGAGCTCATTTCATTTTTTATCTCTTGCTTCATTATTCTTGTAGTCCTGGTGGCCAAGACATTTTTTTCTTTGAAGCTTTATTGGTAATTGTAGAATTATTCTCTTCTATGCTTACCTCTTGAGCATTTATTAACTCACAGTATTTCTTTATTGTCTTTTTCTTTTTATTCATATTTGTAGCCTCCATTCCTATTGTGGGACTTTATGCCAAGACCAGACTCCTCCCCATCCCAACTCTTGGATGGGTGGTCAGGCAACCTTTGGCCATTACCTTGATTTCCTTAGCTCTTGCTACTGGCTTCTACTTCCCCTGGTGTGTTTGCACTCAGTGTTTGCAAGTGTCAGACTTCCCTGGATCATCTAGGGCCAGAGCTTTGTAGTCTTCAGATCCCCTTGGGGTATCCTGGTTGTGGTCTTCCAGTACTCCTGGAATGTTTGTGATCAGAAAGCTGCCAGCTTCAAGTTCTCTTCCCCTCAACAGAGCACTTCAGACTTCAGCAGCCCTTGCAGTGTCCCTGGTCAGAGCACATAGGTTTCAAAACAGCCTGTTTCCATAACATCTCTTGCATCTCTTCCCTTCTCTCCACTTATGTGACCACTAGCTTGATTCTGGCCCTTGCCACTCGCTTCTAGACCATAGTAATAACCTTTGGTTTCTTTGCTTCGAGTCTCTCCCCTCTCCAGTCAGTTTTCCACAAAGCTGCCAAATTCATATTCCCAAAGCATAGGTCTGCCTGTCACTACCCTGTTCAAGAAGCTCCAATGGCTCTCTCTTGCCTCTAGGATAAAAGATGAAATACTTGGCAACTAGAGCCCTTTATAGAGTTCTAAATCCAGACTATGTTCCCCAGCTTATTGCATATTACTCTCTTTCATAAACTCTTAAGTTTCAGCCAACCTGACCTCCTTGTTCTTCTCTGTATACAACATTCTATTTTCCATTTCTATGCCTTTGCACAGGTTATCCTGTGACAAGCACAGGAGGGGTTGGCAAGATTCTTGCCAGAGTCTTCTTTAATAGACTGATCCTTTATCTGGAAAACAGTTATCCACCTGAGAGCCAATATGGCTTCAGAAAGGGCTGTGGAACGGTTGATATGGTGTTTGCTGCCAGTATTCATCAGTATTTGTGTCAGCTTCATGATGGCATGCTTGCCGGGGTGCTAGATAATGAATGATCCTCTTGTGCTTTGTGCTTCCTCCCCATAGCAGTGCTACGTAGTTCCTCCCATGCTTTTTAGTGTGAGATTTTCAGCAATGTTGTCAGACGCCTTCAACAAGGATGAAAATGGCATCAAGGTCAGCTATTGCACTGATGCTAAATTGTTTGACTTGAAAAGGCTACAAACCAAGACTAAAGTGGAGGGAGAGTTGACTTTTTGTTTCTTGTTGATTGTGTACTCAATGCAGCCTCTGAAGCTGAGATGCAACAGATTATGATCAGTTCTCTGTTGCTTGTGTTAATTTTGGCCTCATGATTAACACAAAGGAAACAGGGGTTCTCCACCAGCCAGCACCACACCAACCATGCATGGAAACATGGGTTACAGCAAATGGAGAAATTTTGAATGCTATGGATAAGTTCAGGGATGTAAACATAGATAATGAGGTTGATATGCATATTGCCAGAGCTAGCTCAGTGTTTTGGAGGCTCAGACAAAGTGTGGGAGAGAAGAGGTATTAGATCGCCTCTGAACTAAAGGTCTATGGAGCTGTTGTGCTGACCTCATTGCAGGATGCCTGTGAAACCTGGATAGTATATCATCACCATGTCAGGAAATAGAATCACTTCCATTTGGATTGTCTTAGGAAGATTCTGAAGATCACCTGGCCAGATAAGGTACCAGACACTGAGGCCCTTTCTTGAACTGTACTGCCAAGCATTCAAATTCTGCTGCAGAGAGCATGACTCAGGTGGGCTGGCCACATTATTTGAATGCCAAGTGTATGTTTGCCTAAAAGATTACTTTGCAGAGAACTCACACAAGGTAGGCACTCATGTGGAGGTCAGGGTCATTCTCATGGTCTCCCTGAAGAATTTTGGAATGAATTATTTCACATGGAAGACACTGGCAAAGGATCAGCGAGCATGGTGTACCCACATCAAAGAAGGCACTATGCCCTATGAGTGAAGCAGAATTACAGTGGCTCAAAGGAAGTATGAGCTGTGCAAATTTAGAGACATTTCCATTCCAAATGTTCATATAAGCTATTTGTGCCTGACCTGTGATAGAGCCTTCCAAGCTCCTATTGATCTGTTCAGCCACAGTCAAACTCACTGTAACCTGACCCCATCATAGTGATATCATTTTGGTCCTCTTCAAGAGCAAAGAATGACAACCAACCCACCCATCAGCATTGGTAGAGCAAGTTTCCCTTTAGAAGTTCTTATGCTATTGAAATCACAGGTCTGATTTACACACACACACACACACAGTCATGGAAGAGCAAATTTCAATTACAAGTGGTTTGAATATAAATTCTTGTGGTACTGTCTAACTTTGGGGCTAATTGAAAGGTCAAGTCAGTTCAATAGAATATAAGCTCCTTGAGGGCAGGGATGTTTTCTTTTTTTTTTTGTATCCGTATTGCTTAGCAGAGTACATAGTATGTCCTAAATAAATACTGATTTAATTGATTTATATAATAGCTATCTTTTGGTATAATACACACACACATACACACACACACACACACACACACATATATTTTGTGAGGCAATTGGGGTTAAGTGACTTGCCCCAAGTCACACAGCTAGTAAGTGTTAATGTGTCTGAGGCTACATTTGAATTCAGGTCCTTCTCTCTCCAAGGCCAGTGCTCTATCCACTGCGCCACCTAGCTGCCCCAAGCATGATATATTTTTGATATACAGCATAAGATTTGGGGTAACTTTCCTAAATCCCAGAAGTTAGGATTCCCAAAGGCTACTAAATCATCTCTTAACATTCACCAAAGGTCTGTGGGACACCTTCCCACCAGTTTATCTAGAATACAGGGGAAACTGGGCTCAGACTTAGACAGTACATCTCACAAAGAGGTAACCTACAACTTTTGGTTGCTAGGAGTCTTTTTCATGGTCTCCTCATGAAGTTCCCCTTAGGCATGGTGCAACATTTTTTGCTGCACTTCTTGTATTATCATGAAGCTGTTGAGGTCAGATTTGGGAGAGCAGTTCAAGTGTGAAAGAATTCACTTAGTCTCTCTAGCCATCAAGAGCTTTTATTTACATGAAAAGCACACAGGCCTTTTGAGCAAAAAGCTAATTGAGGCACAAATATTTTGGGGGACCAGGCTTATATAGAGGTTTCAGAATGATGATATAGTTTTAGAGGTTTTATGTGGGTTAAAGATTAAGGACAGACAAGAAAGGATTTTATGACGTAGAATGAGGGAGATGAAAGGATTTATTTATGGTCCAGGATAAGGTTTTTTATGATTTTATGATTTAAAGACAGGGCAGGAGAACACAGGTTAAAGATTAAGGGACAGAGGAACACAGTTTAAGGGAGAGAAAAGCAATTCTTTTGGTACAGGTTAAAGAGAAGTTTTATGGTATTTCAAGATAAAGGAAAAAGGACTTTAGGACACTCTCAAGTTACAGGTTTAGTTACAGCATGACTTCCCATCCCCCACCCACCCACCCAGGAGGGGCCTCGAAAAAGTTCAGGAAAAGCAACCCTTAATATTCTTCTTGTGTGGGACAGCAACCCTAACCCAAATTAAACTCAGAGACTTCTCAAGGTGGAAAGCAAAGGTTACCTTTATTACAGTCTCCCAAGATAGCTGTCTGCTCCTTCCATACACGTGGAGAGAGAGAGACTGAGTAACAGGGGCTGCCTTATAAAAGCAAATCTTTGCCCACCATGTGAACAAGTCTCCACCCACCACTATCCCTTACCCCCTTAACTGGGGATGGGCTTACATTCTAAGCAGGAAAGTTTCTTCCTATCCTCTTAACCTGGAGGTGGGGCTTACACTACAGGCTCGAAATTCAAAGACAAAGAAAGAGGCCAGAAGCCAAGGGCGCAAATGGCTCAGGTTGGGGGGTGGGGCAGGGCTTATTCTTTCTGTTAAGTGCTTAAACACAGGGTCTGAGTGGAGGAGGATTTTGAAAGTAATAATCAAGAATTATTTGACCCTTTGAGGAGCCTTCACTTCTGAGAGTTCATTTCTCACACTACCTTCTGACCTCATTACCTTAATTACACTGAGAAGTCTTCACTGGGACATCCCATTCATTCTTAACCCTTAGGGAACTGTTTGTATCCACATCAAAGCTGCTTTCTTTAAAATTCCTCATTTATCCTTAGCTATGAAGATACTGTAGGCAGTTAGGTGGTAAAGTTGATAGAGTGCTGGGCCTGGAGTTCAGAAAACTCATCTTCCTGAATTCAGATCTGGCCTTAGACACTTATTAGCTGTGTGACTCTGGGCAAGTCACTTAACTCTGTTTGCCTTAGTTTCCTAATCTGTAAAATGAGATGGAGAAGGACATGGCAAACCACTCCAGTATCTTTGCCAAGAAAATGACGAATGGGGTCCTGAAGAGTCAGACACAACTGAAATGACTGAACAACACTGCAGACGCTACTGACAGTCCCTCTTCTTCTAGGGTGCTGCTAGGACTCTGATGAAAAAGTCCACATCATATGGCTTCTCCCACAGACACAAAGGCTTCCTCTGTCAAGGAGGGAGAGGCTAAGGTACTTTTCTCCTTTGTCCTCTTATACCCACAATTTCTTCTCAGGGACTCAGCTAGAACAGCTTCCATAACTAAGCTGCCAGATACTACAATTTTCAGTTTGAAATGAATTTACTGGTTTTATATGATACCCATTTATTCCTTTTCCTTCAATGCTTTTCAGGACTTCTACATTAATTACTATCTGTTCCTACTGATGGGGTATGAGCCCAAGATGAGCACTAAGAAACCCCCTCCTTAAACTTTCCTTGAACTCTCTTGGTTGCTGGCCTTTCCTTATCACCTACTCCCAATCTCCCAGTTCTTTGTTACCCTTAATTGAGTACATTTCCCTATTGTCTGTTACTTCTGGATGTCCCCCAGCCACTTGTCTCCATTAAGGTGCTGAGATTCTTAGTCTAGCCAATGCTCAGATTCTCATAATCTAGCCAATAGCTCACAAATGTTCAAATTCTTTAAGAGTCTGGCGAATGTGGCAGATCTTTAATAAACCTTGTTTTTGGCTGAAAGAAGACTTGGGCTGAATTCATTGGGACAGGACCCATGTGTCATGATTTTGGGGTCTCAGCACCCCTAACCCTCTAAACCTCAACACTACTGTAAAGCTTTTGAGTGATAGATAGATATTTGCTTTATTCAATTAAGATATGTTCTCAGATAATTATAGATTTATTGACATAATGGAAGAGTTCTTACCTGATAAAAGCATCAGGGAACAAAATCTACTTGGTTACTTTAAGGAGGATAGGTTAATTGATTGAATTAATTGACAACCCCTACCACCCCAGTCTTATCAATAAAAATAAGTCTGCACCACAGATTCAATTCCTGGGAGTAGAGGAACCTAGGAAACCCCACTACAAAGTAATTTCTCTTCCCACCTCAGTTTCCTTTTGTCTTGGTCTTTTCGGCTCACTAAATCCTTCTGCTCATCACCTTGGACTGGCTAAAGGCTAGGAAGAATCAGATTCCCAACTGATGGGAACTGCCTAGAGCAAGACTTAGCTCTTTCTCATTTTCCAGATATATATACTAGGTACTAGCTGAGTCTACAATTTTATTCTAGATGCCTGTGACAATTCTTCCCTCCCATCTCTATAGTTCCCAAATAACAACTAAAATATAGGTTAGTGCTGGTTAGAGAAGAAAGTGCCAACCAGCATCATTCACTGGAGATACAACAGTTAGCACAAAGCTAATCTATTGACTGCAAGAGCAGGAAATGATTTTCCTATTTAGATTCTGGAGTATAAGCAGTTAACTATGAGAATTGTAAGTGAGTGTGGGGGAAGGAAAATATCTCTAAAGAGGCAGTTTTACTGATCTAAATCCATTTAGAACTGGAATGCCTCATTGTTTTCACTGTAGGTGCCAACCAGAGAACAGTGACAAATGGGCTTATCATTGTCACAGGCTCTTGAAGAAAAGATCTGAGGCAAAGCTGGGCACCAATTCTCCCGTTCTCAAGATAAAGGACCCTTACCTAACCCCTTTTCCCCAGAACTCTCTCCAAACCAATAACAGTAACCTTTACACACAGCCTTCCAGGATCTTTGTTCCAACACATTTATTTCTGTACATTTCCTGCCTAATAAGATGCAGCTACACCTCCTTTGTGATTCTTGGTGTAACCCAGGCTGATCTGGGTATACACAGGCTGATCTCAGCACACCCTCAAAGGGCCTTTGGAACATGCCTAAGTTTCATTGATAATATTAATATCAAAATAAGTATAAACAGTAATTTTAGCATCATCAGAGGTAAGCAGGGTTTAATCATCTTCTTGACTGAATTTTTTGCTTGCTAAAGGAACAATATCTGGAAAAGCACCTATTGTACAGGTGGAAGAAATCAAAGTAAAGATATGTGTCCCTGATTACAAAGCAGATCAGTATACTAAGTATCCTAGGTATATACTAGGTCCTCATTCCTTTCCAGACTGAATGCCAGACTTCCTCCACTATGGCCCAGATCTTCATCTTGAAGCCTCATTTCAGTGCTAGAATTCACAGTACCTTCTGCCCTTGCAACCTCTCTTTCTGATTGGATGGAATCTCCTTTTAAAGAGGGCACCGTGTTTTCTTTCACAACATGACTATTATGAATATGTTTTACCGACTATACATGTATAACCTATAAGGCATTGCTTGCCTTCTCATTGGGGATGGAGAGCGAGGAGGGAGAAAGGGAGAGAATTTGAAGCTCAAATTCTTAAAAATGAATGTTAAAAATTGTTTTTACATGTAACTGGAGGAAAAAAAATACTAAAAAAAGCTTAAAAAAAGTTTAAAAAAATGAAGAGGGCACCCTATGCCAGCCAAGTCTCTCATTAAATGTTAGTTGACTGACTATACAGATCATAAATCAATTTACATTGTCCAAGAGGTTTCAATCCAAGATTAATGATACTCATACGTGCACCCACAGTGTCCCACAGTATCCTACAGTCTCCTGGTCACTTAGTCCACTGAACCACCTTTACTTCTACTCCCAAGAAACTGGATTGCTTTAAGGAGAAATAAAAAATCTTAGTTTATTTGCAAATGGCTTTTAAAGATTTTTAAAAATAGATTAAAGTATGACGTATGTTGTGAGAAATAACTCATTCAGACTCAGGAGGGAGAAGTTAAAAGCCCAGTTTATTATGAAGTTGCAAAAGCGGGTGTCCTATTGAACAGACACATACACCAAAGCAAGAGTTCACTATTTATTTCTAATACTGGCTACAAAGTCCCTCCTCTGTTTCCTCACTGTCTGAGTACTCTAGAATGTACAACTTTCCAGCACGCCTATTACCCAAGTACTCCCTAACATATTGTTCCTTCTTCTACATACATGCATGTTCAGAAAATGGCATCTTAACCCCACCCAGAGGTGGAGAAGTTAATATTCATGAGCCTATTAAGCATGCACACTCTAAGCAAAGCTTAACCTTTGTCCTACTTACTGACTTCTAACAGCAAAATAAGATAAGGCCAGCTGTGTCCTGGTTTACTTGGTTACTTTTTAAGCAGTTGTTTCAATTTTATGGAAAGAAACATTTTTGTTGTATCTCTCATGTGTTACAGAAAGGAGTGACATTTCTATTTCCTATACTATGTTGTGCAACTGAATTATTCAATCAGTATTTCTCCTGTGTATTAAAGAAATATTAGGAATTTCAGGAAAATTATAGAAGAAAAGTGAATTGATTTTATTCCCTCTTAAGGAGATTAATAGAAAGACAAAATGATCTTTAATTTGGGGAAAAAAGTCAACTATAGGCTTATTCTGAAAGAATATAAACTAGCAGTATCTGGAGAGAAGTGTTTTTCAAATGTAAAAATATAAAATTATCTGAGCCTTATTAAAGAAAAACCTCTGTGAACTGTTACACAGAAGAAGCCCCAGGTCCAAAAAGGTGGACCTGGATTGAATCAGAATAGATCACAATTTACACAGATTATAAATGCATTTATTGCTTGAGAAGAAGCTTGCAAGCTGGAACACTTAGTCAGTGTTCTCACTTATTCAAAGAGGAGTTGGAAGGAGTGAGGCATTTATGTTTTTTAAACAAAGGAAGAAGAAAAGGTGGGAATTTGGCCTGATCCTAGGTAGGAAGCCCCATTCCCAAAGATATCAGAGAGCCAGGAAACAAAGGGAATGAGGAATTCCAGGTGAGGCCCTTTGACACACATATCAGAAGGCATTCTTGGTGATAAGCAGTCCTGGCATTTCAAGAGGATATCTCAAAAAAACATAAAACAGGGTGTGTCTGACAGCCCCATAACCAATAGTTAAGGGAGCCTCTGAAGATAAGGATATCATTTGAAGGTCCATTAGCCATCAAATGGCTCAGGCTCTGCTTCAAAGCTAGTATTGTTGAGGTTTAGATGTTAGGGTGCTCGGACCCCAAAATCACGACACTCAGGTCCTGACCGAAAGAATTCAGCCCAAGCCTTCTTTCAGCCAAAGACAAGATTTATTAAAGATGAGCCAAATAGGCCAGATTCTTAAGGAATCTAAACATTTGTGGGACTTGTGAGGATGAGCGTACATAAGAAAGCCTCAGCCCCTAAATGGCAGCTAGGATGGATCTTATATATAGAAAGACTATGGGAGGAATCTAGGAGTGGCTAAGTAGTTTGAGGTGACTGGAGGAGGGGCTGGGAGAAGGATGTCTTGATGGGAGTGGCCACTAAACTGGGTAACTGGAGAGTCTAGGGAGGATCTGAATGGGAATGACTGGGACAATAGAGGGCTAGGCTTAATTATAGTAACAAAGAATTGGGAGATTGGGTGTAGTCCATAAAGAAAGGCCAGTTGAGTGTATTATAGCCTCAGGTAACCACTAGAGACTTCCTTGACCAAGTAGATGAATTCAAGGTAAGTTCAAAGATTTTCTGGGGCTGGTAGACCCAAATTCTTTTTGGGGTAAAGGGCAAAGGTCTCAGCTTGGGCCCATACCCCATCATTATGAGCTTAATTGGCTTCAAAGTTGCTGATTTTCTGTACATCCAGCTGGGTTTACTCTTGGTCACTGCAAAGGACTGTTGATATGTCAAGCCACTCTGTTATCTCAGCTAATATAGCCAGTCCTCATACAGCCCTTCTCAGTTACCATGGATAATTGGGGGCTCAAGCAAATCAAGGTATCCATTTTCACAACCTGTAAATTTATAACTATGGAATAACTAGTCAGTTTACATACTTGTAGATAGGAAGGTGAAAACAACTGAACATAATGATTCTGGAACTCAAGATTAATAGGCATTTTGGGTAGTGTTTCATAGCTGGGGTGAAGGCATCCATTTCTGTCTCACATGAAATGTTATTTAGATGTTTTACATAATTATGAAAATAATTTTCTATCCTTTTCATTTTTTCCTACATCTATATCCATATCTCTGAGATAGATGGACTCTAAGTTAGAAAACCAATCAGGTATTTATTTGGCAGTCTGGCACAAATATTGAAAGTCAAATCTTTTCCAAATATTCAGGAGAGAAAAGAGAAAAGAAATCCTTCAAGGTGATTATCATGAGACTAGACCTTTATAATTATCTCTTGAAAAGATTATTTAATTCAATTAAAAAATACAGTTAAGTCTTGAATGGAATAAGAATGACTATATTCTGGAGTGCTTGATAAAATTTGAAAAATCAACATTAAATGTAACAGGTATCAATACAGAGCTTCTGATAGCTATACTAGATTCCTATTAGGTTCTCACTAATACTTTCTTTGGTTCATTTTTCCTCTGCCCAGCTTTAAAAAAATGTCTTATTCATGCTTTTTTTAATGTCATTTCACAATAACATAACCTCTTCCTTTTCTATTATATTAATATATTAATTTTTATTACATTAATAACCAATTATTAAATCAGGATTCAGGTTTTTCCTTTCTATTTCCTCATTTAGGGACTTGAGATTGCCCAAATCCTTGGGATACAGCCTCCTAGATCTTGGGCAGGACTCCAGCCAACTAGAAGAACTTACTTCTATTTAAAGTGTAAACAGAATCCAGTGTAGATGTGTTTCTGCCCCCAAGGAAATGAGCCCCTGTCCTGGGAACCTTCCATTAGAATTTAGAGTGACCCTGCTTATGAAGGAGAAAACCAACCAGAGTGGTCTGGGTAGAGAAGGATTCCTTTGTCCAGATTGCTGGAGGCAGCTGAGTCTCATGATCAAGTCACATTCTCAACAAGAGGAGCTGAAGACTTTTAGCTCACCTCCTCATTAATATGACCACCCCCTCATTAATTGTTCACCAATGAGGGTTGATTTTCACCTGTCAAAGGCACCGCCTTTTCTAAAGATATTTAAGCATTCAGGGATCTCCATGGTTTTGTCTTTGGTTACCTGGAGAGACCGCTGATCATCAATTTATCTATTATTTGCTAGCCTAATTAATAAATTGATTATTAATTACCTAGAAACTCTGCCTCAGGCTTTTCATTTCTCACAATGGGATACACACACACACACACACACAAAACAAGCTTTGGTCATTTTTTAGAGTATGTACCCAGTTCTGTACTATCAAGATACTATTAGGAGATACCCTCTTTTCCAGAGCTAAGACCCGGCAAGCAAACTGTGCCCTGAGCTTGGAATAACAACAATCCTTTGCACTTACCCTCTGGATCATCTCACTTTCTGGCAAAATCATGTAATTATTGTATTGCTTTGATGAGCACCAGGTGTTTTCTGAGCTTAGACAAGTTCTGGTCATGAAGCCCTGCTAGGAATGAAACTTGTCACATTGTTGCTGTTACCCCTCATTGTCAGGGCTACAGCTTACTGTGTAGCCACTGATATGAGCATCAAGTTTAGCTATACTAAATCCAATCCCCACAATGGTTTGGGGCCTTGGCACGTGTTTCTAGATCCTCTCCTTGCTTGCAAACCATTTCCCTCACTTTGAAATTAAACTTTGATTTGATTCCTGACTCTCCTGTCTCTAGCCTGCTCTGTCTGGTTCCAGCCATCCACATGTTAGAGGCAGGTTCAGTTCAGTTGACAATACCTATAATATTCTCTCTTTGGGAGGAAAGAAGTATATTTCATTGTCCATCCTCTTGAGTCAATTGCCTTTTTATCACTGTTTTCTTTGCATCCTTATGGTCATTATTTAAATTGACTAAATTGTCATCCCTACTTTGCATCAATTCATACAACCTTTGCTAAATTTCTTTGAATTCTTTACATTCATTCCTTCTAAAAGTGTTATAATATAATAATGCATTCATGTGATTTTATTGACAGCAATATTATAAGAAGAGAAGATGGGCTGATCACGTAAGAGCAGAGGCATTCCATTCACATTCTCATGATGGGAGAAGAATGTTAGAAGTCCCTCAGCATTTAAGGTGGACCCTCTATGGCAAAGTTATGAAAGGACATGGACAAGAATTGCATAGGCTGGGCAGGTAGAGACTGGTTGTGATTTGCATCATTGGAGAAAACATCTAGACCAATGAGATGATATCCATTTGAGTATGTTCATATGCCACAACTTGTTCAGCCTTGCCTCTCATTGATGGGTGCCTCATCTGATACCAATTTTTTGCTACCACAAAAACATTGCTGCTCTAAATAGTTGTGTATTTATGAGACTTTTCTCTCTGGCTTTCACTTTCCATATCCAAGATTTAAAAGCTCTAGAAAACTTATTATCTCTGCTTCAAATATATTCATTTGATTCATCTGATAGCAAAATAAGGCTTCCAGTGGCTTGAAACAAATACATTTCTTTATATAGTTTCTGTTTCCAGATGTCAATAAGGATAAAAGGTCTGAGAGCTAGTCAGAGAAGAAGTTCTTTCATACAGATCATTTTCCAGTTCTCACTGGCTTGGAGGAAATTGACAAGGGCTCCTTTTTCCCGCTGTAGGAGATGAAGGAGACAACTTTGGAGGTGGAGAATAGCAGAGGTGTGGGACTAGCAGGGGGATAGGAAAGAACCCTCACTGAGGTCCTTGTGTTGAATTTTCTTAGTTCAGAGTTGAGCAAGGGTCAAATAGCTGCTGCTCTTCTGACCAAGAAAGAGCTCTGGGCACCAGGGACTAGCAGTGCAGAGAAGGGACAATCCAGACATTGTGTTTGTTGGTTTAACTGATGAAGAATAGGCTTGTGTGTCACGGTGTCTGTCCTGAAAGAATTCACTCTGTCTTCAAGTTAATAAAGGCATTTAGTGGGGTGACTGCCCAGCAAGCTCTGTTTCTTATGAGAGGCCAGAGCAGTGAGCCAGATTGTATGTCTGGTCTATAAACAGTTTGATGGGATAGAGGGATGGGGGGTGCTACTACAGTTTAAGAAAATGGGAAGGGGCATTGGAGAGGGGAGGAAGAGGAGGAGGAGGAGCAGCAGCAGTTACTCTGGAGTGTCTGAATGTCAGCTAGTCAGAGGTGCTTTGTGAATGCATACAGATAATATATAGTCTTACTGATCACTTTTTAGCTGGTCCCACCTTGAATCTTATCTCATATCTCATCTTCTGCATCCCGTTTGCCCCGTCTCCTGGAACACTCCTTTCTAAAACTACTTAGCTACCACTGTTCTTTCCTGGGAACTGAGAAGCACCTGCTTCTTATCTGCCTTTCTCTACTTTCTACTTAATCACCCTTGTAGTAAAGAATAGGGTGGAGAGGATGGAAAGATGGCGGAATTGAGATCTGTTACATCTTCAAGCAGTATTTTCAGTTTCTTTTTGTATATTTCAATATGCATAAAAACATATAGCTACCCACTTCTAGGGCTATATCCCAAAGAGATCATACAAATGGGAAAAGGACCCACATGTATAAAAATATTTATAGCTGTTCTTTTTGTCATGGCAAAGAATTGGAAACTGAGAGGATGCCCATCAATTGGGGAATGGCTGAGCAAGTTGTGGTATATGAATGTAATGGAATACTATTGTGCTATAAGAAATGATGAACAGGCTGACTTCAGAAAAACCTAGAAAGGCTTGTATGGTCTGATGCTGAGTGAAGTGAGCAGAACCAAGAGAATGTTGTATACAATAACAGCCACGTTGTTTGATGACTAATATTAATAAACTTAACCCTTCCCAACAATACAAGGATCCAAGAAATCTCCAAAGCCCTCGTGATGGAAAATGCTATCCACATCCAAAGAAAGAACTATTGAGTTTGAATGCAGATCGAAGCATACTATTTGCTATTTTTTTTCCTTCTGATGAATTTTGTTTCCTATTTCTGGTGGTTCCTCCTATTGGTTCTAATTCTTACTTATAACATCACTAATGTGAAAATATGTTTAATAGGAATGTATATGGGAATGTATATGTGTAGCCAATATCAGATTGTGCACCATCTTGGTGGTGGGGAAGAAGGGGGAGAAGATTTTAAACTCAAAAGCATATGGAAGTGATTGTTGGTAAATCAAAATAAATTAATAAAAAAAACCATAGCTATCAAATATGTGTCGTTTCTGCTTCTCTGAAAACATGCAGTGAGATGTCAAAAGAGAGATGAAAGTCAAGAAGGAAGGAAATCTAAATTATGGAAACCAAACTTGAATTTTGCCAGGGCACACTGGCTGGAATTTAGAGCCATATGTTTCATGGATATAAGGGTTTATGAATTTGTTTTAATAATTGGGCATAGAGAGAAATGTAACTACTCAGGAAGATTCTGCTAGACTTTAGCCATTACTTTTGTGAGTGAACTGAGATGGGCACTCATTTTTTTTTCTTTCCCTCCGGAAAGGCATAAAGCACAAGGTTTGAAAGGAAAGCTGCATACTGCAAGGGCAATGAATTGCAAAAGATTAATTCCCTAGACATCCCTAGGATCAGAGGTGATTGACAACAGCCTGGTAAACCCATCTTACCAGTGCCACCTGATGGTCATATTTATGAGAGAAATAAATAGTAAAGCAACAGAAATAACCATAGCATGCATTCTCTTGGCTCACAAAGTAGTTTTGGTCTTGATGTAATCCAGCTATAACTCCAATAACAGAATACTAAGAAAATTTCAAAGTGGCAAGACATTTCAGTGAAGGCAGTATTTGCATTTCTGTACAAATCACAAGCCATACTCATACCCAATGAGTCTCTAGCCAGTGAAGAAGCTTCCCTTTTAAGGTGGTCGTCACCTCATCACACTGGCCAACTTCTGTCTCTGGATATGGCTACCATTTCACTTATGCTTTCCTCCCAGCAGTCTCTTTTTTCAGTCACATGGTCTTTTAAAGCACAGAATACTGAGAAATGTACTTCACAACTTTTGAAGTGAAGCTTTTTCTATAGCTACATATTTTTTCTATGAAAAATTTTTTCTATAGCTATTTTCTTTTTTTTTTTAGGCACTTGGTGTCATGTGACTTGCCCAGGGTCGCACAGCTATTAAGTGTCAAGTGTTTGGTCTGAGGCGGGATTTTAATTCAGGTTCTCCTGACTTCAGGGTTGGTGCTCTATCCACTACGCCACCTAGCTGCCCCTATAGTTATCTGTAGCTACATATTTTCCCCCTAGGCTGCCACCAAGGTCTGGAGGTTTGAAAGACATTGCTATTTCCAAGGCTCTTGGGTTCAGGGGCCCGAGTTGTCTCCCTTAGGGTCTAAGTAGAGATAATGGCCAAAAAGGAGGTAGCATTCCGAATTGCCTGGTCTTCTGTTTCTTCCTCAGAGTACCTTGTTGCTTTGCTTAGACTGGTTTGCCTGCTGACCTGGTGATTAGTTAGCATTTGGTTGCAATGGCTACAGTGGTTTTCTCTCCTTCAGAGTCTTCTGAGTGGGAAACTTTTGATGCTCAGTGGCCAGTCCTCTTCAGCACAGCACCTTGCCACACCACAGGATGACTTTGGTCATGCATTCCCTTAATTAAGAGGCCAAATCATATGTCTTGCTGAAAGTGTCTAAGATGAAGTGGCTTCATGGGAAATGCCCTAGGCAGAAAATGTGCCACCATAAATTTCCAGGGTACAGGCTCATCCTTATGCGTGCTCCATTAGGATGGCCACTATTAAACGCACATCACTAAAGATGATTTTCATTGAAAAGTCAATACCCTATCTCCCCCATGTCACATACAAACAATGCTCCCCTTCAGAAATCTAAGCAAAATTAGCAGTTTTAATCTGATTTCTCCCACTGTTTTACTTCTCTCTAGGAATTTCAATCTATCCTCTCTTAATACCATCCTCTTCAAAATGTTCCATGTTCCAAAAATACCCCCTCCCTCTTCTTTAACTATTGGTAAAATGTCTTTTCACTGAACCTATTCTCAGAAAATCACAAAATAAGAAAGGGATTTTAGAGATTACCCACTTTAATCTGTTCACTTCTCAATAATTATCGTCTTTTTCTTGATGACTTTTGTTCTTTGAATCACATTCATTTTAAAATATATCCCTTCATCTGCCCTGTCAACTGAATTGTCCTTTATAACAATGATTTTAGAACAGGACAAAAGTAATTCAGCAAAACTAAACAACATGCTGATGATAACCAACATCTTACAGTAATTCCACATCCATAATAACACCTATCCTATCCCTTCAATAAATGGAGAGAAATGTGATTCCTCAACTTTACTTCAGTGTTATGCTCAGTCATTATAATTACACAGATTTCACTTTGTGTGTCTGTTGTCTCTATTTATATTGTTATACTTATCATGTATATGATTTTTAATGGTTCTGCCGATTTTACTCTGCATTAGCTCATATATGTCTTCCTGTAGTCTGAATCCCTTCTTTTTAAGGAGCAAAAAAGATGAAATTACTTGATCACAATTATTTGTTGTTCAGTTATCTCAGTCACGTCTGAATCTTCATGACCTCATTTGAGGTTTTCTTGGCAAAGATACTGCAGTAGTTTGCCATTTCTTTCTCACGCTCATTTTACATATGAGGAAACTCAGGCAAACAGAGTTAAGTGACTTGCTCAAGGTAACACAGCTAGGAAGTGTCTGAGGCCAGATCTGAACTCAAGTATTCCTAACTCCAGGCTTGGTGCTTTAATACACAGTGCCACCTAGCTGCCCTGCTCACAACTACATAAACCTAGATTTGGAGTCAGGAAACTTGATTTTGAATCCAAGCTTTGACTTATTTTTTTTTGCCACGGAAAAGTCACTTAACTTAAAAGCTTGTTTTCTTGGGCAGCTAGGTGGCGCAGTGGATAGAGCACTGGCCCTGAAGTCGGGAGACCTGAGTTCAAATCTGGCCTAAGACCAAACCCTTGACACTTACTAGCTGTGTGACCCTGGGCAAGTCACGTGACCCCAAGTGCCTAAAAAAAAAAGAGGAAAAAGCTTGTTTTCTCATCTGTAAAATGTGGATAATAATATTTGAACTTCTTACCTTACAGTGTTATCATGAGGATAACCCTAAAGAAGACATTATCAATGAAGTGTATGACTAGAAAAGGGAAATTCTGGTGATGTTGCAATAGTGCAGGATAATAAACAACCCGAGTGTCATGTTGATATTCATGAAATGTTAAACTATGTGGATAAAGTCTTCAAGATCATAGGGTAGATTGCCTATAGAAGATTTATGCAAAGGCTATGATTTATAGGTTGTAGGAAGGATCCATATCAATGAGATCATGGATCCAGCAAAATTCTGAAATATTTAATAAACCATTTGCCCTGATTACTGAAACAATTGTCTTCCTAATAATAGTAATAATATATTGCATAGTATTTCTAGTTTTCAAAGCACTTTCACATATTTCATTTGAGATTATATGACACATTTGAGGTGAGGCAAGCTATATTTAATTATTTAAGATCGCATGATCTTATTAGTATAATGGACTTATAAACTTAGAGTCTTATGGCACTGAGATTTCTGGGATCACAAATTCAGTATGTAATAGAAGTGGGACTTAAATTTAGGTCTTCCTGACACTAAGTCAGGCTCTCTACCTACTATGTCTTGCTGCCTCTCTCTAAGATTCAGGTGAAGAAAATTAGAAGATAACTGACTTGTCCAGGGTAACTTAATGGACCTAAATGTCTCAAAAAGTATTTGTATCCCAAGAGAGGGACTTTGATACTTCAATGAATATAAGATCTCACTAATATCTCCCTCCATCAATGAAATTCCAAACCCATATCCTATGTGACTCTTACTCATATCTACCCATAAACTTTCTACACTTAATATGCCTGTGGTCTCCTTCTAGTATTGTGTGAATGTATAACATGACAACAAAAATCAATGTACATTTAAGGGTTATAAAGCACTTTCTTAAAAACAACATGAAGTAAGTAGTACAAGCATTATTATCTTCCACTTATAGATGAAGGAATTAATTGTTAGAGAGGTTAATGACTTGCATATGATTACATAGATATGGCATGTCAGAGACTCAAATCAAAATCTTCTTGCATAGCAATATGTTGACACTTACCAACAACCCCACCCCTCTTCCTCACTCTGAAAGGTGCTCTCATATCCAGTAGGCTCAATAAAAGCATGGGGAAAATGGTAAATTGACAGAGTGAATAGTGAATACCAAAGCTGAGATTGAGAGGGTCTTCTTTAGCTAGTTGATATTTTGCAAACATTTGACTTCCATCTTACTGCCTCCTACTAGGTGCCATCACCAAAGTATTAAACAGTAGTATTAAAGGTGTGATAAATAATTTCCATTTCTCTCAGTTCCAAGGATGATCTATTAAATAGTGCTGTATATTAAAGCTAATAGTCCTAGTTTAGGCTTCCTAAGTATGAGATAATAAACTGTGGAAGACTCAGAGAGGATGCGAAGGTTCTAAAACAAACAAATCAGAGTTCATATCAGATGCAAATGGTCCAAAGCAC